CATCGAGACATTACCGCCGCAGATGTTCGGAGGCGACCTCTCCCGGGACATCATCCTCGAAGCGTGCGCACGGTGAGTGTGTGTCCATCCAGGGCATACCTACGTTGATTCTTCCGTCCAAAATGTATACTAAACCTACTGCCAAAGCGTCGAAAATCCAGAAAACGTTGACTGTAAGGTACAACTGCCGCCTGAGTTCGTTCCCGCCTCCTGCCTTCCGCGGACTGTGGTCGGTATCCTGGGTGGTGAGTCGCTGTCGTTGCTTTATTTTCTATTTGAGCTCATTCAAATATATAGGCACAGGTACCGGAAAGAGCACGCTTCTCGCGGGTCTTCTGGAAAGTTGGTCATACTTATTTCGTCGTTGTCACCGACGCTTAACATGATCGCAGAGAACATCCTCAGTATCAGTGGTAGTAGACGTAAGTTTGGGGGATGCATTGTATGAGACACTCTCAATCTCATGTTACTCTACAGGAGGAACATCGTTTCCAACAATCATCGTATACCATGAGCTTCATACGATCGACGCCGCAATCTCCTATATGTCGGAAGACGATTTTCGCAAACATGTCGATACCGCCATCGACCTTGTGCAATTGGATGACCAAGGCCAAGAACTCACGCTCGGTACACTCAAGTCGGACCCGTCTTTCTCTCTAGTGCGCAACCTTAGATCGTCTGCCCTCTGACAAGATTGCTAACTACACGACGTCCTGCTAGTTGGTCGAGGCTCTGGATATTAAACGGAGCTATCTCTATCAGGCCGGTATGACATCTCAAAAGGTATTGGACGACTATCCAGGTACGTTTGTATTGTCTCATTCATCTGTGATCGTACGGTTTTACAGGATCGCAGAGGTTCGCGACCGCTTGGGTACGACACGCTATGTCTCCGCGACAACCGAGTCGCAATTCAGGCGGGAGACCACCGGGAAGATGAACCGCCGCACGGGTCACGCACAGTACAAGCCATGGCCTCTCATCAATAGTATGGTTGTCAAATGCAATTCGAGAGTGCTCGCGGAAGGGACCATTCTGGTCGACCTGCCAGGATCGTTCGACATCAGCGCCACCATCCTGCATACCGTCGCAACTTTCAAGAACAAGCTACAATTCACTTTGGCGACCGCACCGATAAAGCGCTCTGACAACAATTCCACGCTGAGTGGTAAGTACTGCGATAAATGGTGCTTGTCTGATCGAGGGGTTAAACTGCGCGTGGGCTGTAGGTCTCATGGACGATGAGATTGTTCGTCAACAACGCATGCGTGAGTGTTCTCTTGCGCATCTGACGAAGTCATTTGGCTGACGGCGTCCGGTTGCTCAACATCAGATGTGTATGTCGTAGAGTCTTGATCACCGTCATACACTAACGGCTGGCATTCAGCTCCAACGCCCGTGGCGATGCTCAAGATCGGCCCATGATTGATCTCTCCACCGCCCCTGCACTCGCCGCAATAAGTGTGTCCTGGTACATTACCGTCGGCCTGTATCTGAGGCTGATTGTCCCCCAGTCACCCAGTGCGATGCAACGACAAACGTTCGTTACCAAGAACTTGAGAACGACGACGGGATCGGCGAACTATTGCAGGCCGATGAACGCTATCTCGCAGTTGTAGAACGGTGCGACGAACTGGAAGCATCATGCCTTGAAGTGAAGGAAGAGAAGGAGGAGCTCGCAAAAAGCGCTTCAGCGGAGGGTACGGCTTGACTCTAGGCATTGCAAGCCCATGAAACGCCATAGTCTGACTCGATGCATCAGGCGCTGGAGACGAAGTCACCAAAACTCTGTCTAGTCTCAAACTTGGTCTCAAGCGTTCACGATCGGATCCTCCTGAAGATGAGCCTGAAGCCAAGCGACGAAGGGTGGGGGACGTGGGCATGTTCGACTCGGTAAAGTTGGAGACATCTTTGGCTGGTTCGGAACGTCATCGCGCAAGTGAACTCAAGAAGACCTTGGATGGCCTACAAGAAAAACTTAGAGCCTGCAAGCTTGAGCGTCAGCTAATGGTATCTGCCGTGCGATCGCAAGTAAGAACATGGCACGCTCTATCCTGTCGCGTATACGGGCTAACTTCCCTTGCAGGTCGCCTGTGGCGAGATCAGAAGACAATACCGGGAGAAGGCGAAGACGACCGTCAAATCAGGCCAGTAGACTACTGGGTAACATCTTGCTCTCAAATTCTCACAGAGCCAGTGCAGGTGCACGCAGTAGTCTGCCTGTCTTCGCAACGAGTGCTATCGATTTCACGGAGCTGGTGGAGAATGCTGTACATGCGAATCAGCCGGTTACGGACACCGGTGAAGCTGTTCTCTCCTATGCATGGAGCGCGGTCTAACTCAGCGCCCGTAGATCTCGAGAGAACGGGGATACCCGCAGTTCGTGCTTTCGTACGCAATCTCGGCGCTCGGGAGCAGCGTTCCGCCGCGCTGAGAGTACTTGCACCCTTCCTCGCCCAAGTCATATCGGTGTCGAATCACCTGAACGCGGTCGAGAATGAAGGCATCGGTGCTGCGACACCGCAAAAGCTCGCAATGATGGCGCGCTGGTCCAGTCGCTCGGGCCCTAAGCGCCTCAAGGTGGAAGACGTTGGCGGAGGTAAGGCCTGCCGGCCCATCTCTTGTTGTTCCGATGCTCAAACTCCCCTGGAATGGTAGTAGGTAACGGCCCTGTTCAGGTCAAACACGAGGGGATGGGTCTGCAGGCCACTTTGAAGGCAGTGAGTGTGTTGCAGGATTACGCTCATACTCACCGATCTGACTGACTCGTCGATGCATTATAGGCCTTCAACATAATCTTGAAGTCGGAGATGGACGGGGTGCGTCGGAAGCTTTCGGAACTGGAGACCGCATGTACAACCACGCTCGCTGGACTGGTATGTCTTCGCCGTATATGATAGCCGTGTGAGTAAGTAATGAAGAACGGATCGCAAGGCCTCAGATCACATTCCGCAAACCGTTGAGAAGATAATCCATAGTATCGAGGATCGGCAATGGGGCATCTGGAAAGCTAGTAAGCACTATTCATTCATGTTCGAGCGGTATACGTCTTACATCCAACCAAGCTCTTCGGCGATGCGGCGTTTACCGAGACAAGAACTGGAATGTGGACCTTGCCGAGCCTCTCGTCGCCTCAACGACGCAGCCTCGGGAAGACCTATTCAATCACTGGAAACTAGAATCACTCCCGACTCTTCAGTTCAAGATGATTCATGCCGTCACTGAGCTTTCTAGCGTAGTAGCGAAATCAGCGCGTGGAGGCGACGGCAACCTCGAAGGGGCCGTCAGCGAGCATGCGTGTAGGGCGATGCCTATTGTGGATGCGGAGATTCACAAGATCGCGCGGATAATCACCCAGGAGGTCCACGACACGGATGAGCGAGACTCTCGTCCTCTTTCGCTTGTCGAGGCTGTAAGACTATACCTCAAACCGATGTACGAAGAGGCATGCGAGCTCGGAGGAAAAGGCAGCACAATGCTTCAGAAGGTGTGTACAAAGTCACACCCATCTCATCGGTTTAGCGTTGTTGACGTCCACGTAGGCATTGGTCAAGAAGACTATCCAGGAGAGAGCCGATGCCATGTTTAAGCAGATCGTGCAGGAGTTCATTCAGGCGCGGCGGGCCACGATCGATAGAGTTGAGCTCAAGCTCACTGACGCTCTCGAACACACGGCCAAAGAGGTAAACGCTTCATGGCTTGCGGAGCCTACATAGTGCATGGCTGATAGGTTTGTATCAGGTTGAGGCCACCATCTCCAAGGCCTGGGTAGTCGCTGGATATGACGTTGAAGAGATCGCTGCTCGCGCGCACGCTGCGCACGCGGTGTCGAATATCCGCGGCCGCTTAGTCGACATGGAGGCGGCCCTGAAGCATGCGATGGAGCGCGCCGACGAAGATATCCCCTCTTGCTATCCACCGCTCACCAACCCGGATGATGACTGAGACGACTTGAAACGCTTATGGCTGAATGATACCCAATTGAATATACTGTATGCGTACTCGGGCTCAGCGCTACAGATACGCAGATCTTGAATTATATTCATCGCCTCTGTGTGTACGCACTCCCAATCATCAACTGCTCATACTTGGCGTCACAATGAAAACACATGCTCGTGTATGCGATGTAGTAAAAGGTAGGTGTCGGAGCTATCATGGTAGGGACGTGCAAGCTGGGAGACCGTCCAATCCCCAACATTTGATCGCAACTCCACGCGGTGATGACTTCTATCAGTTCCCCGACAGCATGTTCCCGACCGTCATGTTGCTCCCTCTTTACTGGCCTTCTCGACGGAAACTCCTTCTAATCAGGCCGCTGAGTCGTGCGCTTGTGTGAGGAACACTATGGAAAGAGGCCAGAATGTCGTCAACGGGTCCGTGGCAGTGACTGATTTAACGCCGCGAACCTAATCCTGATCCGGCTCAGTCACACCGGGGGTCCATTGATGTACAGCGTCCGGTCGAGGAAGTCCTCTGTACGAACATACTCTGAGAGCTCAAAGCGGCACCCCACATCCGTCCGTCACCCTTCAGCACCGCTGACTAGGGCTGATGCCTGTCGCTGGTCGCTGGCGTCTAGTGCGCGCAGCGTCACGAGCACGACGCGTGGTGTCACGGCATCAGTAGTAACGCAGCTGAAGGGGCGCGATTGAATGGCACCCTGGATTTCGACCACCACTGCGACCGACCGCTCGTCCACTCGGTCTCGATGGACCGTTTGGATACGCATCGAATTGTGGAAGATGCCGCGTCTTGTGCCGCTGAGCTGCGAAGAATCGTAGAGAGCCTGCCGGCTCTGACATTTGGTGGCGACCTGAGCCGGGATTTCATTGTCGAGGGATGTAACCGGTGAGCGCCCAAATACGGCCATCTCCACATTGCCTCACCAATACTGAAGTCCGCACACAGCGTCGAGAATACTCAACCTCGGCTAAGTAACATCAAATTCCCAGACGGCTTCTTACCGGACTCTCGTCTGCCGCGCACTGTGGTCGGAACCCTAGGCGGTACGCTCACGTCCGCGGGTCGTGTTGCAGATTGCTCACATTCACAATAGACACTGGCGTTGGCAAGAGCAAGCTTCTGAGCGCACTTCTCGGGAGTGAGTATGCTCGTCCTTTTCGCTCGTCTTCAGGACTAAGTGCGCGCTCTCATAGAGAATGTGCTACCCACCAGCTCCAGCAAACGTAGGCTCTCTCGCACTCTAAAGCAAGCACGGCCTTATGACAAGCTACAGGAGGAACATCATTTCCCACGATTATCGTTCACCATCCGCACCCAACCATCGAGGCTGCAGTCTCTTTTATGAGCAAAGAAGACTTCACCAAGCATGTCGAGACTGCGATCGACCTCGTCAAACCTGACGAAGACGGGGATTATATGGTGGAGACATCGCTCAAAGTGGATCCCTCGTACTCCCTTGTGCGTATCCTTTATCCTCATACTGTTGACGGTATTGGACTCACGTGTTTTGCGTAGCTCAGCGAAGCCCTTGGGTTATTCCGGGACGACTTCGCCGAGGAAGGAGCCTCCGTTGAAACAATCTTGGCAAAGTGCCCAGGTACGCGTCGAACGGTCGATTAAACGAAGGCTCGCTACTTACGCTACGAGTAGAGGTCCGCAAATTACTCGGGACGATCGACATCGTCGAGGCGGATAACGATAAGAAATTTCTCAAAGAGACCACTAGACGATACGCTCGCCGCATCGGCCATTTCGAATACAAAAAGTGGCCCTTGGTGGATCTCATGGTCATCAAGTGCAATTCTGAGTTGTTGTCTGAGGGCGTGATACTAGTGGATCTTCCGGGATCTGCTGATGTGAGCGCTACTGTGTTGCGTGCAACAGAAGCCTTCAAAGACAAACTTCACTTCACGCTGGGTGCTGCACGCGTCGAGCGATCTGAAGACGACGCGGGGCTACTCTGTGAGTACTTTTGCAACTGTGTGGTGTGCCGGGTGCTCATTCCTAATAGCCTATATTCAAGACGAGATTAATAGGCAACGTCGCATGCGTGAGTAGTGTGCGACTACTCTCCTCATCCGTGAACTCATATACCCCTGGGTCTTCTTTATACTCGTCAGAGAGGTAAACTGCACCTATCCGTCGCGTAGATTCTGAGACACTGAAGCTGGTACCTATAGCAATGGCGCCGATCAAACCGACGGGAACCAGGCAGATTCACCGCCTTCACGCCAACCACCAGTCGTCGATTCCACACTCGCCGCCATCGGTACGTAATGCCACGCTCAATTTGTCCCTCCCTAATCAATATATTCGGTCCTTCTAGTCACCAAGTGCGACTCGAATACGAACGTCAAACTCGATGAGCTCGAGCGGGACAACGAGATTGCGCCTCTATTGCGGGAGAATCGACGATACCTGGCGTTGCGTAAACATCAGAGGGCACTCGAATCCCGCATACGCAGACTCGAAGGCGACGATGATGATGATAGCGATCTTGATGAACTTGGTGTGTTGACCTCTTGATATATCGACATGCGGGCGCTGATGCATGGCTTGTTGATCTAGCTTCCGATGGCGAAGCCTCTGGCCCTTCTCCCGACAACTTGCAAACTCGCAAACGCTCTCAATCGCCGAATGAATCGACAGATGCCTCTGCGGTCAAACGACGGAGAACTAGTCTTGATAGCGCAACGGACGTCAAGGTCAAGATCGAAGGCTCAAAGGCACCTCGTCTCGAATACGATGCGGATCGTATGGTTGTGGATCCAGAGGCGGACGTGGAGACGTTGCAAAGGCAGTTGGACGCGTGCAAAAAGGAGCGTGAGATCATTGCTGCCGGTGTGCGCTCTCAGGTGCGGACCTCGCTTGACTCTCCCGATATCGACTTCACGCACTCACACGCTCGAAGGTCATTTGCCGGACGATTAGGAAACAGTACCACGATCATGCTACAAAGTCTTTGGCAGGTACGTATGCGACCGGTGCGCTGTGATTACCGATGCTCACCCGTCTACAGGAGACATCGCTTCTCTGCCTGTATTCGCAACGAGTGCAGAGGACTTCGCGCAGACGCTGAAGAAGTCGGGCAAGTTGGACCTTTCTGCGGGTGGGCGCTTCTTCACGCACTTCATCTACTTCGATCTGATGACTTGTGCGCAGAGCTCGAGAGATCAGGGATCCCTGCCGCTCGAGCGTTCATTCACAACTTGGGCGCGCGCGAGCAATATGCTATGGCGGCCGACGTCATCCAGCCCTTCCGAGCGCAGGTCACATCTGTCCTGGACCTCGTCAGCGTTGTTGAACCGCAAAGCGTCGGGGTCGCGGCGCAGCAAAAGCAAATGTTGATGGAGACGTGGGCGACTCAGGGCTCGATGGAATCGGAAAAGCTCGTGAGCGGTGGTATTCAGTTCGAATTGAAAGCGGTATGTCTACTTTCTACCTAATGAAATCCCATCACTAAGCTACAGGGCGACTGCAGGCTCTCAACGTGATCGTAGGCTCGGAGATCAAGGAAGTTCGCAGCAAACTCGCACTGTTGGAGGCAGCGTGCACTGCCCCTCTTATGATGCTGGTAAGTCCCGTTCAGCGCTTATCTGGTAGTACGACATGCGACGATTGACTGTCGCAGGCTGCCGAGCGTGTTCCAACTATCATGAAAGAGATTGTGAAGCAGAAGCAGCATTGGGGTATCTGGCGCGCACGTAAGCCGGTTCTGCGCGTATGACTGTCAGGTTCGCTCACGTCTATCTGAAGATCTTCGTCACAACGGTGTCTATAACGGGGTCGACTGGAACCGAAAACTCGCGGCGCCACTCCTCGAAGCCATGGGCACGCAACGCGATGAGCTGTACGAACAGTGGAACAGACTGTCCGGAACAGCTCTTCAGAACAAAGTCATCAACGCCGGCATACGAGTGCTGCAGAAGATCATGTTCTCGTCTACCTCTTACGAGGCTAATCTCAAAATGAGCGTGAACGACCACGTCAACAAGGCCATGGCTCTCGTCGCACAGGAGGCCCATAAGCTGCAACAGATCGTCATCGCCGAAGTCCTCGACAACGACGAACGTGCTTCGCGTTCTAACTCGGTCGTCGAAGCCGTTGAGGCACAACTTAGTCATATCTATGACAGGGCACTCAAGAAGATTAAAGGCAGGGAGAGTACTGTGAAGCAGAAGGTACGGAATCCTCGGCTTGTTGACAAGCGCTCTGCACCTCATACGCCTCTCACAGGACTTTGTCGAAGAAGCCGTCAACGAGGCGGCCGAGTCCGTGTTCAAGAAGGTTGTTCAAGACTTCATCAACGAGCGCCGCGCCACTATCGACAAGGTCGAGACGAAGCTCTTGGAGGCCTTGGAGCACATGGCCAAAGAGGTGAGCGCTAGCGGTACCACGCATCGACTTATCAGAGGCTGACTTCGAGTGACAGGCCGAGCTGGCAATATCGCCCGTATGGGCGTCTGCCGGGTACGATGCCGAGCAGATCGAGGCGCGCGCACGCGCGGCTGAAGTGGTAACAAGCATCCGCAACCGTCTCCTCGAGATGGAAGAGGCCTTGAAGAGCGCGATGGAGCGCTCGGCGATGGCCCCGTCTTGTTATCCACCCCCGACTATATTCTGAAGTGTTTCATTTGGCTACGATGCTTATGACTGAAAGTTCTCTGGATGTATGTTGTACGATGGAAGCTGTACTTGTATATGCAGTCCATATCTTGGCTCCGAGTGTGATATCTTCGAGGACCCTTGCGCTCCTACACTCACTCTGCCGCTGGAGAAGCAGTCACTCAAATGAGCTCCGAAGCAAGATGAGATGGGAATGCGGGAATGCGGGAATGCAGGCTGTCGCGGGGTAGCGCTCAAGCACGGGGATTGATCGGATCGCGACTGTGGGTGACACGATCCGTCAAGCCCACACCGGCGACGTGTTCTTGGCCACCATGTTGCTCGTCCTCTGCCAATGACCCCATGAATCTATCTGTTATGGACCCAGTAACACTTTTTTGAACGGCGTGACAAGGAAATAATACTCGCCATGCCAGGACAACTCTCCCTGGAAGTGCGCGCGCCATCCATCTCGTCGATTCACTGGATGTTTCGCGAGATCGGTGCTACCTTGCTCGAGGTGTCCAAGCCCGCGATGCGGGTCTACTCACTTAGTTTTAGGCAATTTTGCCTGCAGCGGGACAGGCCAAACTCAAGCACCTGCCAGCGGCTGCACGCTGCGTCACGGCTGCAACGCGCTGTGTCACACTGGCAATAATCCGAGTCCTATTCGTGAAAGGGGGATGCGCTCGAACCGGACTCTGCGCCCGACTACCACCTTCTTCGTGATGGACATCGACAGCGACGGAATCGTAGAGCGAGCCGTAGCTTGTGCCCAGGCTCTCAAGGATGTAGTCAAAGGTCTTCCAGCACAGACCTTCGGAGGCGACTTGGGACGAGACTTTATTCTCGAGGCGTGTGGCCGGTAAGCAGCTCCTCCGGCACCTTCAAGCGCGCTCGCTACGCATCACGCTCAATCAGTGCGCCAGGGCTGAAGGCTTTGAACCACGTCTATGCAATATCGACTTTCCGCCCGATTTTCTACCAGGCTCCCGACTGCCTCGAAAAGTAGTCGGTATCTTAGGAGGTGCGTACGCTCTTGCGCCTGCCACAGCACGTTGCTCATGATGGCGACAGGTACCGGTGTTGGTAAAAGTAAACTGCTCGTCGAACTGCTTGGCAGTGAGTACCGTCCCTCTGATCACTGACAAGCACGTCGGAGTTGAGCATCTTCCAACTGGTATCAGAGAATGTCCTACCTACCAGCGGTAACAAACGTGAGCTCCCTCTCCGCATCTTACTGAAGGGACCTCACATCTGGCTGCAGGTGGAACCTTCTTCCCCACAATCATAGTCTACCACCCCCTCCCGACGATCGAAGCTGCAGTCTCTTTCATGAGCAAGGAGGACTTCGAGAAGCACGTTGCAACCGCAATTGATATTGTCAAGCCCGATGATAGTGGAACGGAACTCGTAGAGGTGTCGCTGAAACGCGACCCATCGTATTCTTTGGTGCGTAGTCCCACTCTGTATGTATCAATCAAGCTCAGTGCAATGGTGTAGCTCACTGAAGCGCTCCGGCTCGACCGTCGGGCTTTTCGCGAGGAGGGTGTGACTGTCGAGACTATACTGGACAAGCGTCCCGGTAAGTCAGGTTGCATATCTCCTGCGATGTCCTCGCACTTAATCTCGGCCAGAGGTCCGAGAAGTGCTAGGCCGCACAGATCGCATCACAGCCGACAACGAGAAGAATTTCCTGCGTGACACGGTCAAGCGGTATAACCGCAGCACAGGTCACTCTCAGTACAAGCCCTGGCCACTAGTGAACCTCATGGTCATCAAGTGCAACGCCGAGATACTATCCAAAGGCGTTGTGTTGGTCGACCTTCCTGGGTCCCACGATGTCAGCGCTACCGTGCAACGGGCAACGGATTCGTTCAAGGACAAGCTCCAGTTCACCTTGGCCACGGCGCGCGTGGATCGCTCTCAGGAAGACGCCAGCCTGCAAGGTTGGTGCATTGGATGTTTTGGGCGTATTCGTCAATGACAACACTTGACAGGTCCTATGGACGACGAAGTGATCCGCCAACAGCGCATGCGTGAGTGAAATGTCGATCATGCCTCGAAATCAAGCTGATCGTGTGTCCAGAGAGGTATATCAATACACTCATCGTGTATCCTTAAGCTGAATGGAGTCGATCAGCGGCTCTGATGGGAATAACGTGGCTGGTGTTGATCCAGTGTGTGCTAAACGACCCTCGCCAATAGCGCCAGCTCTCGCTGTCATTAGTCAGTATACGCGACGAAAGACCGGATGGCTGAGTACAATTCTGATTGCCTTGTTTAGTCACCAGGTGTGATTCAACCACGAACGTCAAGCTCGAAGAACTCGAACAGGACGACGAGATTGGCTCGCTATTAGCGGGAAACGTGCAGTATTCGACACTTAGTGCGCGTTCTGAGGAAATACAGACCCGTATGGAGGACATTCAAAATGGAATCGGTGACGAAAGCGACTCAGACGGGCCTCCTGGTATGTAGATTCCTTCTCGCACCCGTCATGCTCAGGATGCTCATTGCAACCTTCAGTATCAGAGCGCGAAGGTGTCTCTTCACACCCTCTCAAGCGCTCACAGCCGGATGATTCAGCCAATCCTCCATCCGCCAAACGCCAGAAGACTCATACCGCGGAGGGATCGACTATGAACGAGCCAACGGGCGCCGATAGCAGTAGCCAGGATATGGATGTGGACGAGGGAATGCCGTTGTCGGCGCGTTTGAATGCTTGTGACAAGAGGCGCAAGATCATAGCCTCCGGAATGCGTGCGCAGGTTCGTACTCTATGACTCTCGGTCTCATCGATACGCCACTGATGCACTATCACTATCGAAGGTCATCTGCAGAGCCATCAGGAAACAGTATCAGACGAAGGCGGCAGCTGCCTTGCAAGGTCTTGAGGTTTAAGCTCTAAGCCTGGTATTTGCTTACTGACCTCGGTAACAGGGGATGCCGCACCGTTGCCCGTATTTGCGACTAGCGCGGAGGACTTCTCCGTCATGCAGAGGGACATCCTTCTCGGCACAATTGACGCAACTACAGGTATGGCCCAGACCAGCTTGCACCCACTATTCCTTCTACTGATCTATTCCGGCGCTCTTGCTCCATCAGATCCGAAGAGGACAGGTGTACCTGCCGTGCGAGCCTTCGTCCGCAGTCTAGGCGCTCGCGAGCAGTATGCTGCTGCTTTGGAACTCGTTCAGTCTCTTCTCGTCCAAGTGACATCCGTCTTGAACTTCTTGAGCGCGATCGAAACACAGGATGAAGAGGCCACAATGCCGCAGAAACGCGCGCTGATGCAGAACTGGGCAACTCAGGGTCCCACTGCGGGAACATCTAGTCAAGGCAGCGGTACAGTCGATTCTCCATCATTTACAAACTCGGGGTTGACATCTAGATCTGTAGCTTCTTCAGAACCGCAAACTACACCTGTGTCTGCTGGAGGTATCCGGGCTCGACTTGAGGAGGTACAGCTGGCACTAGTGTATCTCCGAGCCGAGTCTCGTCACTGACGAAAGTCACAGACGCTCAGGGTGGCTTTGCATTCAGAAATCCAGCGCGTTCATCGCAAGCTCGATGACTTGGCCTCCGCTTGCGACCGTCCACTCACTGACCTGGCAAGTCTCACCAGAGTCTCACCGTCGTTCCATCGTTGTTCGGTCTGACCTTCATGAGCCAGACCTGTGAGCACGTACCACAGATCACGAAAGAAATCATAGAATGCAAACAGCACTGGGCTACTTGGCGAGCCTGTGCGTCCATTCCTTCCACCAGTCCCTTCACGTCGACGTAGATCCGAACGCTCACGCTTGTACCACAGTTCTCCGTCACAATGGCGTCTACGGCAAAGACAACTGGAACCGGAGTCTCGCCCGTCCGCTCGTCAAATCGATCAAGGCGCCGCGACACGACATGTACAATCAATGGAACAAGGTTGTCCTGCCCAACATTCGGAACGAACTCATACAAGCTGGCGCCCAAATCTCGAATGATATCATTGGATCGACTGATGGTTACGACGCGGCGCTGGTTGCGAGTGTGAAGGAGCATGTCAACAGGGCGAGGTCCATCATCTTCGACGCGCCGGAGAAGCTCAAGAAGATCGTCACCGCTGAGATTCACGAGACAGATGAGCCCCAGTCACGAATGCGCTCACTCTCCGTCGCTGTCGAGACTTGTCTTTCGGCGATATATGCGAGGGCATACTCTACGTTTTCGGGCAGGAATGTTACCGCAAGGCAGAAGGTACGTTTGTTTTATTCTCTGGTTAAACAGGCCCTCACGTAACTTGTATAGACGTTCATTGAGGAGGCCATCAATGAGAAGGCGGATACTATGTTCGCAGAGATCGTCAATAACTTCTTGCGAGCGCGGCGGGATACTATCGACAGGGTTGAAAGGAAGCTGAGATTGGCTTTGGAACGTACGGCGAAGCAGGTGAGCATCCGGTCCGAACTTGCAATAGGCGGTATCATACTGAAATATCCACAAGGCTGAGCTCGCGATCTCACCGGTTTGGGCTGTCGTTGGCCATGACGCTGCACAGATTGCGGCGCGTGCACGGGCGTCAGAGTCCGTCTCGGCTATCCGCGAACGGCTGCTCGAGATGGAGCGTACTCTGGAGGATGCGCTCGAACGCGTTGAGAGGAACATCCCTTCGTGCTATCCGGCTCCCACGATACCTGACTCCGAATGATCGCCTTTCTCAGTCGCCGCGTTTTGTCACTCTTTCTTTTGCAACGCTCTGTGTATTCGTATCGTCTGTGCTCTATATGTGTGTATACTATATCTTCGCTTTGAATGCAACACCGACTTTCGCGACTCTTGCCGCAGTGAAGAGTATAGCGGACGCCATAACAAGGACCCCGCCGAAGATCTGCATCTTCACAAACGATCCAGTCTCCAAGTTGATGAGAGCGCCCGCGACAGGGTTTCCAATAAGTATACCGAATCCGGCACACGTGAAGCTCATCCCCAAGCGTGTGCCAACGATCCGTGGGTCGTCGGTGAGGCTGACAAGAGCCGCGTTCGTGATGCTGACGAACGTACCCGTGAAGAATCCGTATAGGAGGGTGAATGCGATGAGGCCGCCGACGCCCTGTATTGCAGTCCAGGTGAGGATTAGGATGGCGCATGCGAGTACGCAGGGAGCCATCGTGTTGAGGCAGCCGATGTAGTCGGCGGCGATGTTGGGAAAGATGCGACCTGTCAGAGACGGGTAAGCTTGAGTTCGAATGGCACTAGATGTGAACGTACCTGGGATAGAGGCGGCGTTGAGGATGGGCACCATGTACTTGGCAAGAGTCGTGGACGCGGAAGACCGGGCGGAGGTGTACGGGCTGATATAGAAGAACGGCACATAAGAACCCATGAAGCCGAGGAAGAGCGCCACTGTGAAGAGAACGTATGGCACGTCTCGTATTGCCGTCTTGTCGAAGAGCTTTCTGCGCTCTGTAGGTGTTGGTATGGCCCTTCGTCTGACGATTGCCAGCATGAGGAGTAAGGTGACGAGGATGATGAGCGCGATAGCGCGTGTTGCCCATGCAAAACCGACGGCGGGTTGTAGTTGGTATAGTATGGTGGGGAATATCACACTGCCTAGGGATGCATCAGCCCGTGAGTCTACGCGGAGTCTCATTCTACTGACCTGAACCGCTTCCTGCGGCAGCAATCCCGAGAGCAAAAGCTCGCCTCCTTCGAAAGTAGCTCGCCAAAACGGCAACACAAGGGATATATATCAGGCCCATCCCGATACCCATGCATATGCCCTGGGCAAGGAGGATCTGGTAGTACTTGGTCGTGAAGCTGGTCATGAGCATGCCGAAGAACGTCAAGAACGCGCCGGGCACGACGAGCGCGTGGAAGTAGCCGCGGTCGTAGATAGGGCCTGAAAGGCAGCCGACTAGGAGGAGGGTGAAGCCTTGGATGGAGCCGGCCCAGGCGATGGTGCTGGGCGAGTTGGGGAGTGTGTCTTCGTAGATCCTTTGGAAGGCGCCATAGCTGTTGACTATTCCCCTATGGTAGTTCAGTCACGGAACGCGCCAAGTTGAAAGGGTACATAGCTGCCGTACCATGTATCCATAAAGACAAAATAACTGCCCAAGACCTGCAACCATGCCACTGTCCCTCCATCCGGAACGTCATCCTGCATCTGAACCGGCGCCGACTCGCCCGACTCAGACCGTTCAGCGCTCTCCACGCGCACAGACGCAGCCTTCTCGCCGTCCGCCGACATACGAGATGATGGCAGGCCTTGGTCAGCCATGAGCGTTCCAACACTCAACCTCGCACGAGCCGTCTATATATGTGCTCATCGTCTTCTGACCGTGTCCTAGCGTGGCCGTGGGTCACCTTCTTTGGAGTCCGGACTAAACTGAGACCGGGGAGAGTGCAGGGTAGCGAGGGCTTGAGGGTGAGCTGACGAATGCGAATGGTACATTTGGTTCATGGATATTCTGTACAACCGTCTCTGAGCAAGGTGGACGTCTGGGTCGAAGGCTCAATGGCTCGCAGTGCCGATATGTTGTTGATCGGAGGGTCGGCCCGGCTCACATTACGTGTGGCGCGCGCCGCGCGCGAGCGTCTCAGCCGCTACGCTCCTTGTTGCGAGCCGTCACCATCGTCGCGGTCGCTATCTGAATTGGATGATACACACTTCGCGCACTTGAAGCAGCACTATCACTCGTACGAACTTTGTTCAGTGGACTGAGCGTCAGTCTTGACGCCTTGGTCGTCGAGCCAACTGTATCGTGGGACCTAAACACGGTCTCTTCTGTCCCATCGCTTCATACAATATCTGCACACCGGGTTTAACTCTAGCTCTGATGGTATCGGGAGCCGAGAAGCGTCGCCGAAGGCGCGAGGCAGCGGCAGCGGCCGCTTCTACTGAGGGTACCGCCTCGGACCCAGATTCAGACGGCGAGCGTAGGAACAGTCTTCTTCCACTCACCATTCATGGTGTCTGAACATCCTCATCATCAGCACTTCAACCTGTGACATACGAAGAAGGGCCACCCGCAGCGTTGCCGTCCACCATCGACGCGTTCAGATTGCGTGCCAGGCACCTCAGCAGTTCGATCAAGATCATAGCGGAGACGTATAAGAACGATGTCTCTCAGGATTGGGAGGTCGCTAAGGAACGCGAGGGAGCGTCGCGGGCGGGAGAGTCTTTGGAGAGGTTTGTGCGTCTCAACACCAAGGTGCGAGACACGTTATGCCGTTGCAACTGTGCTTGGGTTGACATATATCCAATACAGATAATCACTCTCGATCCCTGGGAGAACGCCGCTGTAGGCAAACCGGTATTCTCAACCGGCTCCGCAAACCCTCTCACGCTCGACGTGATACTCATCCGCAGCAACCTAGCCTCCACCACCAAACCCGCCGTCCTGGCCGACCCGAGATTCGGGTTCTACATTGTGGCGAGAGACGGAGCTGTGATACACAGGCGGGGGAACTGGTATGTTATGGCGGGCCCGCCGACGCCGGGCGAGGGAAGGCGGCTGGAGAGCTGGGAGAAGGTGTTTGGGTTGACGGCGAGGTATACGGCGCCGTTTGAGAGGGCGGGTGGGGAGGGGGATGGGCAGTCGATGAGAGTGATGGTCGCTTGAGGAGGCATTGCTGGGAGGTCATATATGTTTCAATGTACGATATCTGTTGCTTGCATCTTGACGAGTTGCTTTTGGCAGAGCTGCTAGATCGAACCTGAATCGAGCTTTCGCAGGACTGGCTGGAGGTTCAGGCCGGATCCGGGCCAGACTGTAGCAGTGTTGCTTCCTTCCCATGCGCACCTAGTTGCGAACACTCACCATCTGCGGCGTTAGTGACCTAGCGGTAACCCATAGACTCTATCGGACTCAAGACCTTGAGCTGGTCTACCGCATATAAACTGCCGGGTTGTACCGGATCTGTTGTGCCAAGTCTCAGTAGAACACCGAAGGTCCTCCCGAGTCTATCAGCTCTATCCGCCACTGTATGTTCGGTGGCCCCGTCGCTTGAGACTCAACCGAAAGCGCCTCCAGCTCCAGTCGTGAGTTCCGTGACTGGTTGATATCGCCTGCACTCGTCCTCCGTCGCGACCTTGCCTCATGGTATCCGGATCTGAGAAGCGTCGAAGAAGACGCGACGCCGCAGCGGCAGCCGCATCTTCCCAGCCTGATCTCGAGCCCGCCACACAAGAACCCGCTGAGTGGCGGCACATGCACTTCAACGGGCAAGACGTCGGTGAATCCAACCTTCCCCGCATCCCCTCATCAAATCCATCATGACTGAAACGTACGGTGCGTCACAGATATACCATTTAGGACTTTCGCCGAAGGCCCGCCCGCCGCGTTACCTGTCGACTCGCAGGTGTACAGAACGCGAGGGACGGTCGTTGAGCAGGCTGTGATCACTATGATGCAGGAGTGTGGGGATGAGCTGTGGAAGGATTGGGCGGTTGCGAAGGCGCGTGTTGGGGTGGGGAAGGCTGGGAAGACGTTGGAGGCGTTCACGCGTAAGAACACTAAGGTGACTTTTTCGTCTACTCAAATGGTCTGTGAGTGCGGCTCTAATGATTGTGCTTGATAAAGCTCATCCCGCTCGATCCCTGGGACCACACCCCAGCCCACTCCCCAATCTTCGCGACCGGCTCCTCCGACCCGCTCACCATGGACCTGATATACGTCGTCAGCGGCGCGGAGCCCACGTCCACACCAGCGCGGCTTATAGTCAATCCCGAGCGGAATATGGCGATGCATGTGGCCCAGAAGGACTGGGTGTTTCGGAAGGGGGAGTGGATTGTGTGGGGGATGCCGCCGACGCCGGGGGAGGGGAGGGAGCTGGAGAGATGGGAGACGGTGGGTGGGGTTACGGCTAGGTATGAGGCGCCGTTTGTGAGGGAGACGCGTGTGCTTTAGGGGTCTGGGCGTGTGAGCTGCTGGCTCGGGTTGCGAGTATGAGGGCTCGTGGCCGCGTACTGTGCTACGTAGTACTGCTGCGTCTAAATGGAGCACTTCGTACAGATGCACCATGCCCATGCAAAGCGATTGAGCTTATAAACAAATTTGCTTCTGATTTCGAGCCTGTCTTATTCTTTTCCATCGGAACGCGCCCAGGCTTCGTAGTATCTTGCGGTCAAACATCGACGCGCGCTGGACGCGTAAGTCACGATGGCGCGTCGAGCGAGCTGCGGCGAACGTTTATCCAGGTTCGTCCTGTTCTTGGCAGCTATTGTATGGGCTACATGCATGGCAGAGGCAGTCGCAGTATAGTACCAGGACCACCACAGAGGATTTCTCGCCCATGCGCCGGCGAATACACACCCAGAACACGTTCGAAAGCACGGAAATACAGACTTCACTGCGTGAAGTCCACTCGTGGCGGCTCGCCGCCACGCGCGTCGCGACTTGTACCAGATCGTGGCGGCATGTACTTATCGAGCCGAATAAATCTGGCTGACTTCATGTTGCGACAAAAGTGGAGGGTGTGTACCAGCATGTGCGCATTCGACTCCACGTGTGTGCCGCCAGGCTGCCACAACTGCGGCGACGACTCCTTGCACATCGCTTCCACACCCGTCCGTACCCGTGCCCATTGAGTGGTACAAGACGGGACAAGTTCGGCTTGTATAAGTGCCTCGCCACACCATGTGTCAGCTGTATGGGCTTGTGTAAGTCAGTCTGCACCCTGTCTTTCTTCGTTGTGGTCATCTACTTAAGTCTAGTTGTATGCTTGTACATGGTCATTGTCTTCTTGTCTCCGGCATGCCCACAATATCTGGCATTCTCTCCGATCCCACGGAGGATGCTCATAACACGTTACGCGCTACTTTCTGCTATCTACGGCTGCAGCATGATCGCACGTACCCGCCCAATGACGATTCTTCTGATGACGACGAGAACTCTGCACCGCCATCTCGTGCTTTCGGGCCGCCCAACCCATACGATCCACCCACACTCGCTGGAGAGCGTCTGCGCCTGCGACATCGCAGTCTTGCCGTGCCCACGGCTGTGGACAGGTGGCTCGATGCCAACCGATGCTCGTGGCTTACACCTGACCCGCGAGTGATGAACGCGGGGCTTCATGGGCAACTCGCGACGTGCAAGGTCATGAGGATATTTAATCAGGTAACTACGTCGCTTGATAAACGCAAAAGCACCGGACTCATATGCAACTTAGTCGTACGACAAGCCTGAAACGGACTCGTTCTGGCTTCTGAAGATCCAGGTTATCCTCGGCGAAGACTCGGGCGTCCGAGCTGGCCTGCGGGAAAGCCCGCGCGCGATCCTCGCTCGCTGGGCAGGCGACGGCGAGCCACCCGACTGGGTGATGCACATGCGCAACGGCCAGACCCACACGTTTACGCAGCCACGAGGGGTTTTAACGGACACTTATGCGGCCCTGGCCAATAACTTGGAGAACATTGACGCGGTGCGCGTCTCGCCGATTCGCGGTCAGCTGTGTACTCTGACTGACATCGTGCAGGGTATATCTCCCGCCATCTTGCGTTGGGCTCGAGAGGCATCGGTATGTCTAACTAGTTGTACTGAAGTGCAAGCAGTGCTGACACACACCATAGCCCGTGCAACAGATGCGAATCACGCTGCGTCGCCGTGGCCGGGCTCCTCGCAACGAAGATGGCGGCACTGGGTTACGTCGGTCACGTCGCAAGAACGGAAGGAAGAAGACGACGTAGATAAAAAATTACATGTTCTAGCTCGTGTTGTGGGAATAGAGCGCCAAGCGCGCGTTTCTATCTAAGGTCGGCAGGTTCTGCGAGTCGAGTGAAAGCAGTCATGGGAAAGTGCCGCGTCGTCGCCGAACATGGTCTCGTCACCTTTGACATGGTATGTAAACGACGTCGACGCTTCCGACGGGATATCCGGAAGGCGCGGCGCGGCGCGACGGCAGCTTGATTCCTGACCATCATCTTCCCTCTTCGGTGCACCTCCTCTGCGCTTCTGGCTTCTTTGTTCGATGCTCGCAGGGAACCTGTGTCTCACCGCAGAGTGCAGATACCGGTCTGCTCTGCTCCGGTGGGAGGTGTAGTTGTGTAGGATATTGGAATGGGACTTACCCATCAGTCGACCTGGTGAGCTCCCAGTTTCTACCTCGCGGCCTACCACGAACTCGTACTCATGACCTTGCAGATCCGTACTACAGTGTAGCTGCAAACAACGGCCTGTTAATCTTCGCCGCGCGGGTCGCTTTCAAAGCTTTGCCTCGCCCCTGCTCTTGGGATTAATTCGCAAGACTTCCTCGGGGTTCGGACGGATCAGCCGTCGCACGTCTTGCGAGTCGCGGTCTGCGGCTCGCAAGACGTCGACACATACCACGTGAGTTGTAGCTGACCCTCCTTCAATTGCCTGTACTGATTTTCGCTTTCTCGCCTGCGGACAGTACCTATAATCCAACGGCGATGACATCACTAGGTCGTCGTCGTCCAAGTCGTTGTACTAGTCACGTCAGGCGCCATGCATGCGCGGTCGATGTACATAAATAAATTAGCGTCGACTCGCGCAGGCTCGCCCACATTGCCGCGCAACGGCTTACTAAGCTTCGACTCGCCGAAGCTCGTTTTAACTGCTTTTCGGCGAGCCATCAATTGGTAAGGCATTCCCACGGCTCCCCTCAGAGCTTGCCTTGATATCCATCTCTTCCTCGCTAGGTCGTGTACCACCCGCTTATCTGCCTGGATGTCGTGGCATGCGGTCAGCCTACTCAAAGGGTTGTTTGTGGGCCGTGGCATTTCCCTCTCGCGCCGGGTTCGTGTCTGCTCGCTTGAGGGATGTCCCGGCAGAGATGAAGGAGACCCTTGTGGACTTCCTCGTCCGCCTGTACTCTGTCTACGTCGACCTGCACTTCGCATACCTCGCGATCAACCCCCGTATCTGCCTCGATGCCGTCGAGTGCGGTCAGCCTACCATCCACTACCTCGACATGGCTGCGAAGCTCGACGAGACCGCCGAGTCTATCTGCGGTCCCAAACGGGCTATCGCTCGCGACCTTAGCGTCTACGAGACCGCCCCTCAATCTGTCAAGGGCAAGTCCGTCTCCGCTGACCGCGGACATCACCGTCATCGTCCCCATCGCACTCGGCGTCAAGAAGGAGTCTTGGAGGTGTAGTTGTGCCGGAAATTGGAATGGAGAGGAAGACCCCGTCGGTTGACTTGGTGAGCTCCCTAGTCGCTATGTCACGAACTCATACTCATGGTCAGCTTACAGACCCAAGCTTGTAGACACGAGCTGCATTGCAGCTGCGAACACCGGCCTCTATGGCTTACAAAGCTTTAACGCGCCCAAGTGCACCTCTCGGGATCGGACCGATCAGCCGTCGCACGTCTTGCGAGTCGCGGGATGCGACTCGCAACACGTCAACACGTACATACCAGGCAAACTAATCGTGAATTGCCCCTCGCAGTCAACAGACGGGCTCTGCTTAACTACCTGTATAGCTGTACATCTTGTTAGATAAGCTACATACGTGTCATTCGAGTCGTGGGAGCAAATCATGCTCGAAGCGGCTGGCCCCCTTCTTAAGGCCTGCTTTCGTCTCACGCGGCGATTCAGCCTCTTGGTCCTTCCCCCCATCGTCGCCCACCTTGTATATATGAGGTACCTATGAAATCAATTAAGTTGTCCCTATGCATAATAGTATGATCGTGAATGGGACTAGCACTGAGGATATGATTCGTGTATCGTGGCCGCCACGGCTGTGGCGAACAGGTGTTACGCGTCGGTACACCTGTCCGTCCACAACCATGCTCACGCCCATGTACGCACTTTGCTTCTTCCCTCCACAAAGTCGCAATTGCCCTAGGGTCTTCCTGGTGCGTATTAGTCTTGATTCCGCACACATCTTACTCACCATGGTTGGTAGACATGCCTGACTGCCACTGCGAGACGTATGGCTGCAACGGTCGCGACATACCTCGCTCAACGCGCCACGACCATCAGAAGAAAGACAAAGAGCGCCAGCGCGAGCGTGTTCGTCTTGCTTCTCGGTCTGCACAAGCTAGGGCTTCGTCCGCCCTCGGTCCAGTGGCTTCGACGAGTGCGGCGACGACTGGCCCGCTTCCGCCCTCCTCGCCCGTCCTTCCTCCTGACGGCAATGTATATGAGTTTGATGTTGACGCTAACAGGACGGGCTCTGAAGGGCAGGGTGGTATCATCGTCGATGCAGCCCAGGATGGCCTCGGGGCCGCCGGTCCTGCAGATGACATTGGCGATCTCGATGAGGAGGAGGAAGACGCCGACGATCTCGTTACTCCCCCAACTCCGATCTCGTTGCGCGCCAATTACCGCCCACTATACCTGCACGACCTTGTTCCTTGTGATCCTCGCTATCCAGGCGAAAACGAACCGGATCCTTTCTTTCCCGCTCTCGCCGAAGTGTTCGATGAACGTGCTGCATCTTCCTTGACTCCGGCAAGCATCCATGTCGGAGTCTACATGCTTTATGTCCTTGTCGCCTGGCTCCATACGCAGTGCAAGGTCGCGTTTTCGCAGTGCAACGCTGTCTTGGTCATCATGGCAAACATCATATCTCCCTTCATCGGCGGAAACTGGGCCAATGTCTACGGGATCGGCCCGCAAGGGCCTCTCACCACTCTGCAGCCAATCCTGGACAAGCTTGGCATCGAACCGGACATCGACATCTTACCGGTTTGCTCGAAGTGCACGGAAGTCTACCCTGTTTCGCGAGCAACAGACTCCAGCTGTGACCGTTGCGGCGAGAAACTCTTCCGCGAACGAGTCAGCCTTAACCGCCGACGTGGACGCGCCGAACGCGTCGTCCCTCGCCCATTGCTGCAGTTTCCCCATCGAAGCATCGAAGCCCAACTACGCCGCATTCTCATGCTACCAGGGATCGAGGACGTTCTCGAGCAGTGGCGCTCCAAGGCCCGCGTACCTGGCTTTTTGAGCGACATGTTCGACGGGCGGATCTGCAAAGAGCTTCTCGGATTCGACGGCCGACTTTTCTTCGAGAACCCCCTTCCCGGGCGCTCTGGCGAACCTCCTGAGCTCCGTATCGGACTTGCCATGGGTGTTGACTGGTATGTCCTCGTCTGTGATGCTTTAACTGCCCTCTAACAAGTCACCATCCAGGTTCTCATACTTACGTAGTCTCATTTCTGGCTCGCACACCTCGGGGCCCATGTCTTTCAACATCATCAACCTGCCTCATCATCTACGGTTCGTGTAGATGATATAGATGTTAACTGGGGGTATACTCAACTTTGACATAGGTATCGCGTCATGAACATGATCTTGGCCGGTATACTGCCAGGGCCAAAGGAGCAAGACACTGACGCAGTACAGCGATTCATGCGCGTTTTTGTCAACGAGCTACTTCGTCTTTGGCAAGTGGGCTTCGTTGCAAAGACCGCTCGCTACCCGCAGGGTCGGTGGGTTCGGGTTATCCTGGTATGTGTGTGCTGCGACAAGCCCGCTGCCCACAAGCTCGGAGGGTTCGGCGCACACAGCCACACTTTCTTTTGTACACGCTGTTGGATCAAGCAGGCTGAGAAAGCCACCGACAAGTCATTCGCACCCAATGGTCAGTCCAATCCCCGTTCGCATCTCTTTGGTGTCACATAAATTGACCACGTCGATTGCAGGTTTCCCCCTGCGCTCACATGAGGAGCATGTCCGTATGGGACAGGAGTATGCTCGATGCAATACCCAATCAGCACGGGACGAGTTTGTACGCCAGCACGCTACGCGCTGGTGCGAACTGGCTCGTCTACCATATTTTGATGTCTGCCGCATGATCGTCATTGATCCTATGCACAACCTACTGCTCGGTATGGCATATCTCAGTCTACATGTGCTCCTCTCTGACGCAGATCAATAGGACTGGTCAAGACACACTTTTACCACATCTGGATCAAGATGAAGGTTCTGCGGAGGACGCGAGAACTTCGCCGTTTTCATGCCATATTGTCAGACGTGAGTTTCCTGTCACTCATACATAGATAGGTGCTTATTTACCTGTACAGCTAAAGATTCCTACCTATCTCGGCCGCCTACCAACTCTCATGGGCGAACCTGCTGGTGGCTCATTGACAGCAGATCAGTGGCTCATCGCTGCGACAGTCGTTCTGCCTATCGCGGTGTGTGCACATCATCACTGACCGGTTGACATGTGGCTCATAAATCGCACAGATACCCCAGATCTGGGATGAGTACGCCACAGGTGAACCAGAAGAAGTTCGTCTGCGACGTCTCGGCGATTTTGCGGCACTAGCGGAGAAGCAGAAAGCTGCTCGCGCAGCCGCCCGTCGAGAACGTGAGGCTGCTAAGGCTGCGGCGACTCAGAACGCGCGGAAGTCCAAGCGCAAAAGAGTTCCTACGACCCGGTCCTTGGTATGTGAATGCCAAGACTCGATGTATCTGGCACCGTATAACCTATTCTTGCAGTATCGCGAGGAGGCGAATGACGACGAGCCGTCATACGAAGATGCAGGGGCGCAGGAAGTAGTTGACGAGCGCGACATCTTTGGCGAAGATGATGTGGAGGACGAGGAGAGTGATGCGCGCGCGGGTCCTAATTTACACCCTAGTGACCCTAGCAACTTTTTCAAGTTGACCGCCTTCCTCGAGATCGTCTTGAGTTATAAGCTATCTGTAGTGGACATTGACCGCGCAGATAGCTTGATACGGGACTACTGTCGAGAGCTTGCACACGTATGTCCTCACTTTTGTACTGAACGCAGACAGAGGCTCACTTCACCTTACAGCTCTATGGCCCAGAAGTCATCCGACCGAACCATCATTATGCAACGCACGTACCGGAAAACATCCTCGACTTTGGGCCTCTACATGGCTTCTGGACTTTCCTGTTCGAGCGAATTAACAAGATACTTAAATCGTACAATAGCTCCAACCACTCGGGCGGCGAACTCGAGGTTTCGTTCTTTCGCGAATTCCATCGGACGCTCGAGCAGTCGCGTGTGGTATGCCATTGATGCTTGTCCTGTCAGCTCTTACTTAACGACGCTCAGATGGCAGAATCCTATGCAACGGGCCTTGACGTGCTCAAGAATTGTGTCACGGCCATGTATCGGGCAACTGCAGATGACCGTGGCACGGTTCAAAGCCTTGCGCGGGAGCTGGACGACGCTTCGGAGGACGGTACTGCTCTCTCTTCGCATACGTATCTCGCGTGCTGACATGAATATGATATAGGAGGTGTTCAGTATCAGCTTTCAACGCGCTCGCAGAAAGCACCCCTTCAGCCTCATCTATACAACGAGATTCTTGCTTTCATTCAACTTCGCTTGCCAGCTGGCTTCGTTCTGCGCTCGTACCTCTTTCCTGGCACTGGGCTCGCACTCATTCCTGATGCGCAGTTCTTCGACTATGTGATCATCGCACAGAGACGCTATTGGGCATCGTCACGAACTAATAACATCGCAAATGCAATGGTCGTTGTCAGGAGGCAGGCTGGTGTTAGTACAGTGGGCGAACTCATGAACATTGTAGGTATCGCACAGCCTGGCCTGCCTGTTCAGCGTCTCGGGGTTGTCAGATGGCTGGTCCCTTCACAACAAGCCATTTCACCGGATAGCTCATGGAAGTCAACGTACGTAGCGCGACTTTGTCAGACTATGTTCAATGCTCATACCTCTATAGCGCGCACTTGCGGGTTCACATCTGGCAGCCCAACTCTTACGGAGCTCAACAAGAGCTTATTCTTCTCGAGGATATTGACAGTCATGCCGTCTTGACAGAGGCGCTAGTATCTGGCCATAAGCAATGGGTCACCGTGGGTTTACATAGTACGTGTGTGGACTTTGCAAGCCGTTGGCCTCCTCAGCTGATACTACTCATACAGGATGATAGTACTGGTTGTTTATAGACTACAATCATATGATCCTACTTAAGTCTCCGTTCCTTCACCGTCTGCATCGTCCGTGACGCCCTCGCCATCTGTCAACTCGTCATCGGCTACCCACTCCCTGTCCATGTCTTCGAAGAAGCTGGCCGGGATCTTGGCTTGGAGAGCGGTCAGCGTCGCAGGAACATGAGGCAAGACATCTTCGGCGAAGCGCGTCTGCTCATCGAACCAGTCAGATATGACGGCCTCGCGCCAGGGTGCCTTGTCGGGCAGGCGCTTGGACATGTTCGCGCTGAATCCGGGGAACGTGAAGGTCGGGCCCGTGTTCTTCTTTTTCGGATCCAACTGACGTCGAGCTAGCGCCTTCTTGATCAGTAGGAGGTACAGCTTTTTGAGCTAAGTCACAACTGTAAGTTCGTCGTCATCTCAATGAAGTGCGTGCAATGACTTACCTGCGGACTATACCAGCTGGGAGGACGCAGTTCCCAAGCACCTTTTGTCTGCTTGACACCGTACTTTGCCATATACATGGTCTTGCGCTTATCCCACTCCATCTGGTCGACATCGCCACTGTCGGATGCACAGGACGGTGCGTAGTCTGTCTTGATGAGCTCTCGAAGGCCGCTCACGGGAGGTTCGCCGACAGGACGGCCCTCATACGTGTTGAGATCGCGTTCGACTTCATCAGCCACATCGCGTAAGGTATCCGCGAGCTATAGTGATACTCTGTGAGTCGACGTTCTCTGTCATATATCGCCACACAAGCTAACGCACCCTTGATCTGCGACGCTCGCGCATCTTCGCCCTATTGTGCACCTCCACCCGATCCTGAAGAGTTTTGTTGCCCTGTTCCTTCTTGTTCTTGCGCATCTGTGAGAACACCTTGATTAACCGCTTCCTCCCGAGCTCAAGTCCGAGGTCTGTGTATGGACGCTAAGCATTTCCCAGTCAGTTTGTGAAGGTTGCCCAAAGGGAAATGACGGTGAGCATACATTGTCTGCTGGCTGTTGCGCCTCGTTACTGATCAGGGTGTTGTGCATAGTATCAATGTATCTCGCATTGTACGGCTCGTTGTGGTCCTCAGCGAAATTGGGCGTCCAGACGTCCGTAGGTTGAACGGGCACTTTGCGCGACTCTGTGGGTGGCAGGTCGGGTAGGGGGTATTTCCGGCGTCCCGTGTAGACGATACCCAACCCGCCGTACATCTGTCGGTTTGTTGCCTTCTGGATTGAAGCGTGAGCATGCTAACCTGTTACTTATGGATGTGGTATACTCACTGCCGCAGCCGAGTTACGGACAGGACCCGTGCTGGATTCGACCGGAGCCGTATCTGGTCCTGGTATCGACATACCAGTCATGTTGGTACTAGGAGCAGGCGCAGCAAGTCCAGGGGTGGGCGTCGAGTGCATGGAGTGGCTCCCGAATGGCGCGCTGGCCTGCTCATGCGGTACCGGTATAGGATTGAAGATCTCTGGCGCAGCCGGGGGTGCAAAATCGCTGACAGGTGGGCGTAGAGGTGTAGATGCCTGCAGCGACGGGTGCGTAGTGCTGTTTTCAGCTTGCCAGGTCTTGAGTGCCAGAAGTTGACGAAGTTGATCAACAGACATCTGGTCCGCGCTCGGTGCATTGATCAAGGAGGGCTAAAGGTGTGTCAGCATATCCAAAGACTTCCAACGAAAGACGCATCTCACCGAAGTTGCCAGCGGCGTCAATCCTCCAGACGCAGAGCCACCCTGCCGCATTGTATCAGAAAGCGAGACCTTCCCAACGGTGAGTATATGCGTCCATCTCCAATGCGTAAATGTACTTACAAACGGTGGAGCCCCATTCTCATACTGAGATCCGTCAACTCGAGGGTACCCCGAGCCATTGGGCGGCCAGTCTGGAGTGGGCGCGTAGGGCCCCGACTATTTTGACAATAAGATGAGTACACCAGACCCTCAGCAGTGTCGCTCTTAGCTTACCTCCAGCATGGATAGCTCGTTTGGGTTGGCGCTACCGAACATTCCGCCATGATTGTGGCCCTAATACTGGTGAGCCCTTCACCCAGTTCTCATCGCCTGACGTGCAGACCCACCTGACCACCATGCATCTGTGCATAGGAGTTGTAGCCGTCATTGTACTGCCCAGTGCTCATCAGTGAACGGATGGATCTGCAGCGGGAGGTTGGACTCACGGAGTGGTGTTGACCATCTGCGGGACGCCGCTGATCACCAGGCGGCCATGACGGGTAGCCTTGATTGTTGACGGGGTTTCCGGGAGGCATGGCGAGCGGAAACCTTGCATAGTGCGGTGGGTCGGAGAGTCTTTTATACTGTATCCCTTGCTTATCGTGATCTGACAGGCGCAACAGTCAGGCCGATGGTAGCGCATGCAGACGGACCTGAATGTCGATCGTCAGAGTGCTCGGCCTCCTGGATACCTCAAGAAGGCCAGCACATTCGACGGTGCACAACTGTACGTAGGGCTATTCTGACAGTCATTTCGCATGCTGGTCAAAGTGCACAGAGACTAATGTGCCTTTGTTGAGGCCTGTACTCACTGATATGGTCTATTGCATTGGAGAATATTATGCTATTTCCTGTACGGCTGCAGTATACCGTAATGTATCGATCAGGGTGAAATATAATGGTGGCATTTAGCCTCGGTGTGCCGTCATTGTGAGGCGCGATCGACACAGCTGTGCACCGATGACCGGAACGGAAGTAACATGTTTGTCCAGGTCCGTGCAATTCTCCGCCACAGGTGTGGCAAACTCTCATGACAGCTGAGTACAAGCTCATGAGCTGTACAGGAGCGTCGTGCTATCATGACGATACACTTGTGACATCTGCGGCTACCGTCCGGTCCGACTTCGTATCGCACCCGTGAAATCCAAGCCGCACACTGTCGGTACAGTGGGCTCACAGCCGTACAACCTCTGTAAGGTTGGGTCGCCACAGGTGGACTTCACGCAGTGCTTGTGGCACGCGACCCAGTCAACTGTCTCTCCCTCCCGCCGAGACGTAAAACATCCAGAAGCGTGACCCGCGCCCTACAGCCCAAGGCCTGCTTCTTTCCGCGTAGTCTGGCCCAGCCATCATCGCAGGACGGACACCTGTTGCGATGGCGTCTTTACCGCGCACAGAAGACGAACGGTCCAGGCGGCGGCCTGCGTTCAGTCCGTAGAGTTTGGCTCTTACCACCACCCTCTCCCCCCTCTTTTCTGCGCCTGTCCGAGTGTGCCATGGGCTTCGGAAAACTGGCGCTGGCCGCGGCAGCGTATAAAGCCGCCGCCGAGGAACTTGAGCATTCTCCCGAGCCGCAACCTCAGGCTCCTGCGACGAGCAGCTCGGCCCGAAGACCGTTGTTGCCGCAGGCGTCTGGTTCTGGGATCTCGACGACTGGGAATGGCTACGGCGCAACGCATTCGCGGCATTATAGCCCTGAGGCTCTGAGGAGGACGAACTCGGCTGAGAGCGGATATGGATTTGGAAATGGAAATGGAGCTGTGTTGGATGATGAGGCTGTTGAGAGTTTGCTGGATGAGGCTGGGTTGTTCGTCGGTATGCGCGTCTCATTTGGTATATACATCTACGCGAGTCTGACTGCGATAATATGAAGGGAACTATAGGACATATGTCCTTCTCTACGCCTTTGTGCCTCTGGCCTGTATAGTCTTCCTGGCCCTCCTCGCGCCGATACCGGCCTACCTCCACACGCCCGCGCCCTCCTCGCCCTTCCCGTTCCCCGAACTCCTCCTCGGCGCAGCGCTCTGGTCCCTCGCCTACGTCCTCGCCCCACCGCTCTACACCCTCTTCTCCCTCCTGCCCCTCCCCCCAGCCCTCTCAACGTCCCTCGCCGCCTCGACCCACGCGGTCCTGCGCAACGCCCTCCGCGTCGCCGCGCTCCCCATCCTCGAGCTCTCGCAGCCCATGGGCGGGCACACGACGTACCGCAGCGCGGCGTTCGCGCACGTGTGGGCGTTCGCGATGGGGTGCGGCGCGGCGGACGCGTGCGCGGGGGTGTGGCAGGGGTATAGCCAGCTGGCGCTGTATAGGGACGTTATGGTTAGCCCGGAGGAGGCAAGGCGGGTCGTGGGCGCTTGGTTGCGCGGTCGAGCGCGCTCGTCGGCTCATCATCAACATCAACCTCACCACAATCAACAACAACACGGCTACCAGCATACCCAGTCCACCTCTACATCCACCTCGCCCGAACACGGACACGGACATTCGCACCCGAGACCGCTGCGCGTGAACTCCACGGGCGCACTCGCGCGCACGGAGCTCGAGCACGATCTGGACGCGCTGGTGAGCCTCAAAGCGCGCGAGGACCTCGAAGAGCTGTACGGGGTGCACATCGTGGGGATACCCGTGTTCGTGACGTGCGTGCTGCGGGTCGCGAGTCTGGCGCTGCTGCTGGGGTTCACGCTCGTGATGAGCGCTGCGTGGTTGAGCTCGCCGTACGCCTCCGCTTCCACCGCCTTCTCCCGGCAATCCTCCTCCTCGCGGCAGATGGTGTTACTGCCGCATACGGAGTCCGTGGGGCCGTTCTGGGTTACGTTTGTGGTGGTGTGCGTGGCGCATGGTGCGTTGGCGACTGTGCATGCTCCGCCGTTGTTGAGGAGGGTTGGGGCGCATGCTGCTGCGTATGTGGGGTTGGTGTTGGGATTGGGAGCGTTGTTTGCGGGGTTGGGGATGTGGGATGTGCTTGCTTGACATGTATTTGTTTTCGTAGGGATAGCGAGCTTTGTGGATGTGGAATTGCTAGTGCATCTTGCTGTGATTATATGCAGTGTGTATTGGAGAAAGCATTGCAGGATTTTGAACATAGGCTTTGCGTCACGTCAATGCATCAATAATGAATCAACGTAACTAAACTGTCACGGGCACATGGTGTAGTTGGTTTATCACGCTCGCTTAGCATGCGAGAGGTGTCCGGTTCAATTCCGGATGTGTCCAATTGTTTGTCGGGGTAGATTTTTTCTTCCCTTTCTTTTTCCCAGCTTTTGATCGCGAAGTTGTGGCGCGTTCTGGCATCTTCGCGTCGCGTCGCGTCTGTTCCAAACCCTCCATCTCACAAAACTCTCATCTCCAAAACTCGCGTCTCCTCCCTTCCTTCCATCGCCTCTACCTCTGACATTTTCCATCACCGAACTTATACAGCACAACGATGGAATCTCTCCTCCGCTGGGGCATAACCAACTCCGCCGCGCCCTCCTCGTCCTCCGACCCATCCGCACCTCCGCCCGCGCCGCGCCAAGATCTCGACCCGGCCATCATCGACGCGATCCTCGGCAAACCCGATGCGGAGCTTATGAAAGAGGCTTTGACGAGGGCGAGGGACGAGAGTCTGGATGAGGATGCGAGGGTGGAGGCGTTGGATGATCTCGAGATGGTGAGTAGCTCTATTTGGTATACGTGTGGAAGGTGATGCTTATGGCACGATGTATAGTTGGTCGAACATATTGATAACGCTACGGGTACGTCATACTTATGAGGGATCGGTGGTAGGTGATTGACACGAGTATGCAGATCTCGAGCGTCTGCAGATGTGGCCGCCTATTCACGACCTCATATCCTCCCCTACGTCTTCGGACGCGATCAAGACGCAAGCAGTCTGGGTAGCGGGCACAGCCGTCCAAAACAACCCCAAAGCGCAACACGCCGTACGTCCCCCTCCCCTCCCACCCTCTCATCAAAAACACTAACAAATACACACCCAGTACCTCTCCCTCTCCCCCCTCCCAACCCTCCTCGCCCTCCTCACCCCCACCACATCCCGCTCCCCCGCCCTCCGCTCCAAAACCGTCTACGCCCTCTCCGGCCTCCTCAAACACAACGCGCGCGCCGTCAAATCGCTCTCGTCGACCGCGCCCAACGGGTGGACAGTCCTCCGCGACGGCCTGCACGACAGCGACATCTCCGTGCGCCGCAAGATCGCCTTCTTGCTCAACGGGCTGCTGTTGCCTTCGGCCGAGGTTCCCGTGGAAGCGCCGGGTAATGTGCATGGTGCAGCAGCGGGGAGCACGCATCCGGGCGAGGGGGCGCAGACGGTGCACGATAACACGCACGCGTCGATGCTGGCTGATCCGGCGTCGACGGATACGGCGGCGACGACGTTGGAGGCGCTCGGGGAGCACGGGATAGTGGGTGCGCTGGTCAACGCGCTGACGAGCCCGGTGCCGCATGGGGACGACGGGGAGGAGGAGGGGGATGTGGATTTGGAGGAGAAGATCGTTAGAGTGCTGCACACGTTTGTGGCGGCGCAGAAGGGGGATGTTGGGGAGGGGGATAGGGAGAAGCTTAGGGCGTTCTTTGGGAGGAGGGCGGGTGAGGTGTTTGGGCTTGATGAGAGTGAGTTTGGGGAGTTGAGTGAGGCTGTCAAGGCTTGAGGTGGTGAGACGGGAAGTTTGAGAGGTGTAGCGTGCATATTGCTTGGTTGTGTATTGCTTGGCTGTGTATAGGATGTGTCGTTGGTTGTTAGATGTAGCCTTAGTACTCGATCTGAACGAAGCTGTATCACTGGTGCTCATTACTGCTTTGATTTTTGAACACTCTGCTTCCACCGCGTAAGGCGATGGATTCCGATCTCATGAAGGTGTTGTTCGAATGGTGTCAGAGCAAGGTGCGCGTCGCGCGACGCACGTCCTCCCACGGCTACCCGTTTTCGTGCAGGTATGGTAAGCAGAAGCAGGGGGGACTGATCCAGCCCTCCATTCAAAGGAAGGGCTCTCTTACAGGAGCATGCATACCCGATCACCTTCTGCAACTGTATGGCGACTGGAATGGCACTAGCAGAACAGACGGTGACCCGCCTGTATGCCTTTGACGTGCTTGTATGTTTTCGGCGCGGTCACCTGACGGAAGCGCGCGACGCGTCGCGAGCCTGCGCGGGCGAGCGACAGGCAGGGGTCGCACACTATCAGTACCTCGAGCTGCGTGCAGGAGGTCATCTGACACACTGCAGCGACTTAGACTACGTCGGGGCTGCAGAAGAAAGGACACACGGTCGGAGTGTCTGGACCGGCTACTTTTGATTGGCGCTGGAGTTTAGACGCGCGCTCTGGCCGACGTTTTATTATGTTTGTTCACCGGCCGGGCTGGGATTCCTTACCGCCTCGTGTCCATTCGCTCAGAGTCGCTTGACCTTGCTTTCTTTGCGCGCCGCGCGAGGCTGTGAGACTACAGAGCGTCGGATAGCACAGACGAGGATCCAGTGCCTGGCGTGCCTGGCGCTTTTGGCGGTACTCGGCCTGCGCACGCTCTCGACGCGTCTCGCGTCCATCAGGTGACCGCGCCAGAGCGTAGCGCGCCGCTCCCCTTCACCTTGCCCGCAACGTCCACCACGCTAGAGAAGGCGGCTGAATGATACAACTCTCGTTCTACGGTGTCCGGAGATACTGGGCCGGCTGTATTGTGACTGTCATCATGCATGAGCGGCCGTGCATCAGGGCGGCCCCAATCATGGATCTCTCGAAGCGCTGGTACGTGCCGTGGTTGCTTTCGATGTCCATGTTTTAACTGAATGGCCCGTAGTTTTCTTCGCTCTGCTACCGAGCTCTATATGCCTTGTTCCCATAATCCCTGAGGCTTGCCGAACGAAGCACGTATCGAACCGCGTACGGCCCAGCAAGGACCAGTACTCACTCTTGAACGTCTATGTCTTCCGCGGCTTTTCCGTGACCTTTCTGAAACAGAGCGAAATGAATCGTGCTCTGGCGCAAAAGTGGTGCTTCGGCGCTGCCAGGATGGAGCGTCATTGGCACTGGTATGGCTGATGTGACAGATGTTTCGTATGCGTTCCGCGTTGTGTTGCTTCTCACCTCGATATATAGGCATCGATTTCCCAGAAGTAGAAGGGGCGATGCACCTGCACATCCGTCATGGTTGACCCGCGTTGGCTATCGGCGCTATACGCGTTTGACAGGGAATGGGGGACATGTCCATTCAATGCTTTATGTCATATAAGAATCGGGTTCTCCCTTGCGCGCCCGACGATCCTTCGCCCTAGACTCTCGTTATTTGCGATCACTAGCGCCGGGCTTTGATTATGTTGCTGACACTTTACCTCATGCTACTCACATGGCTCCTTCCCAGCGTTATCGTCGCGCAGAACTACAGCGTTCCTACTGGATGGCAGGCAAGTTCTCTAGCATACTCGATCTATGTGTGTTCTGACCGTCATTCTTTGGTGCAGAACACCGCCTCCAACGTTAGCCGCGTCGAGCGGCTTAGCATCGCCTCGGGCATTGCCGAGGAACTCCGGCATAGGGCCGATCCATCGACAGGCGCCACAACAGGCGCGTCATTCTCCGGATCCTTGAAACGCAGAAGCTCAAGTGGGCGGTTTTAGATTCGGCTACGAATGGAACTGTATGGATCATGGCCATCGTACTTGCCGATCTGGACCGTCTCAGCGGGAACACCACCTCCGAAGATTCTGTCAACAATACGTTGCTGCTCATCGAGTCTGGGCAGGAGCGTCTGGATGTGAGATCTTGATTTGCCGATCCTATGAACCGAGAACTGATGTAGTCTTCGCCAGGGTGTCAATACCGATAACGCGTTGGTCCTACACTTGCTGAACGCTGTGTTGGATCGCTGAGCATAATTTTTCCTAGTGGTTTTGGGCTCGCAGAGATGTACGCTTATCTCGCGTATGGGAATAGCTCTCGCTTGGATATGGCTCGGAGCATCTTCGATCTCATCTACTCTGATCTGATCACGGATACTGCCGTTCAAAGCAATAAATATCCGCGGCCGATCCCGACGACATGCCAAGGTTGGTCTGCGATTCTATGGTTTTGAAGTGCAAAGGGCCGTATTTACTTCCACCCAGGAACACTCGGAGGGTTGGTCTTCAATGTGAGTGAAGGTCACCAGTGAGAAGGCTATGGTTATGTCGCGGGTGGTCTAACTTGCCGCTAGACTCATAGCAATGCGAGCGACCTGACTGTCTACGGTTTCGCAATCGCGTTAGTGCTTCCTGCTGATATCTGTGCACGTCATGGCTGAACAACCTCTCATAGACCATGGATAGCGTGTGCACCACCATTGATCCCTTCACATTGATTCTGATTAACTATACTCGCCCAGGCTATGCGCTCGTCTGTACGAGACCACGCAGAACTCGACGTATCTGGATGCAGCCGAAGCGTCGATACGGTTCATGCAAACATACATGGTCAAAGTCGTCGATTCGGGGATCGAGATCTACCACACTTTCAATCTCACTGGGTGCGATACACTGTCAGTGGCTGCATCCGCACCATCGGGGGACGATGTTGGACGGTATATCGAAGGGCTGAGCATCGTCGCTAATGTCACTGCGAATCAAACTTACAGTCAGATGTGTGTCATATGGGTCTTTCATGTGTACAGATTGCGCACTGATACGGGTTCTGCTTGTAGGTTGGATACCCTCGTACCGGCCGTTGTCTCCTTCCGAGACTGGCATAGTGGTGAAGGGATCCTTACGAAAGGTGCGCTTGCATGCGACGCTACAAAAGGACCTTTCCCCGATTGACGTTGCTGTTCAGATACTACGACATTCCCTTCGAAAGGTAAGATGAAGTGGATTGCTGCTCGGATATGAAGCTCACTTTCACTCTGTCTAGGCTCGTTGATTCGCGGCCTCTTGGAGGCACGATTGAGAAATCCTTCAAACACTGCCTTGGGTACTCTCATCGACAGCTACCTGACTGTACAGGTCCGGAGCCCGACCTCATCTCTCCTTTGCGTTCGCGTATTGACGATGGACTACAGTTCAATGCGGTGCAAACCAATGCGAAGCTTGGCAGCAACGACTACGCGATATCATGGCTCGGTGGCGGCTCCTCATCATACACTACGGTAGGCAACGAGGAGGCTTTGGACGTGCTAAACGCTGCGAGTGTGATAGCACCTGTGTGAGTGACTTTTGACCTGCACTGTGCATGCCTAATGCCGCAGTAGGGACGCCTCTCAGCCAAACAAGACGTCATCCACCAATCATCGAAGAGCGTCTGCAGGCATCATCGCCGGCGCTACCATTAGCGGAATCGTAGCACTCGCGGCAGTCGCTCTCTTGCTATGCGTGCGCATACGGCGCAGAAACCGGACTGGCGAGGCGCCGGTTCATAATGACGGAATCGACGCCGTGAGAGGTGTTCCGGCGGGTCGGGCGGCAGCGCTGATGCCCGAGCCGTTCATCCTACACACCTCTCTGCACGATCAATCAACATTGGTTTCGGAGAAAGGACGATCTCAGCAGCGCGCGAGGGTTGCACAGGACACCCTGGGCGACGCAGGGGATAATGTGCCATCAAGTCCTCCGTCAGATCAGGATGTTAGTCAGAACTTGGGCGCACGGGAAGTTGGATCAACAGACAATCATCCTGAAGCCTGGGATGACCTGGAGAGACGATTGGAGACGCGGTTGCTAAACAACTTGATGAGAACATTTGCTGGACATGGAGAGACGGAGAGCAATCCCCCGGAGTATGATGAGCCGCGGAACTGAAGGGTAGTAGATCGCAATGCCGGCGCGCTCGGTCCAAAAGGCCAGTTAGGCGACGATGAATGTCATGATGTATTCCTGGATGAACCCCACGTTCTCACGATGGCATACTCATGTAGAGGTCCGGGCTGAGAAAGGCCGTAGCATGTGCAGTTACGAGCTTGACATAGGTTCATGAAGTTCATCGTATAAGATTGCAAGATGTGATGGCCTGCTATGACAATTCCGGGAATATGAATGCTACGTTCATCCACCGCAACACGCCCCGTCGCAATTCGCAAACGCCCATACATATGTGCGAACGCCACGCTTTTATATGCCGTATGACCCCCCGTAGGTTGTGTGAGCTCGAGTGTAGGGAGGGCGGCGTTGCGCAGGATGGCGTGGGTTACCGCGGTGAGGGATGTTGATAGGCCTATTGGGAGGGGAAGGAGGGAGAAGAGGGTGTAGAGGGGTGGCGAAAGGACGTAGGCTGATGACCAGAACGCTGCACCCAGTAATGGTTCGTGGAACGGAAAGGGCGAGGACGGCGTGGGCGAGTGCAGGATTGCGGGTATTGGTGCCAGTATAACCAGGAAGATGACGTAGTGCCCATATTTCCCTATATTCAGTTCGTTGATTAGACCAAAGGTATGGACTACACCCAAAGGAGATGTGCATCCGACGAATAATCCAACTTCGTTGAGTACACTTTCGACGACCTCGTCGTCCAACACAACTCCGATTTCACAACCGTATTGCCCCCAGTCGGGTCCGTCCTTCTCAGCGCCTCGAGGCCATGCCTATAATGCCGCAGATGCGTTGCGCTGTAGCTGTTCCCGGTCGTCGAGTACGTCCAGAATCGGTCGGCTGAGGCGATAACGGTCTTGGGGCCGAACTTGAGGTTGAAATGCTGGCTGTGGGTTGAGGTTGAGGCTCGCTCGGGGAAATGCTTGAGCTCTTCGGCGGCTTTGTATGCTGCCGCGGCCAGTTCTAGTTTTTCGAAGCTCATGATAGAGCGGGAGGGAGAGAGGGTGTGATGCTACTGCGGCATAACGTTCCCCGACGCGCCATCGTGACTTATGCCGAAACCGCGCTTTGCCTCCAACCACCATGAGCCTCATGCTCTAAAAAGGATAGTCACATACCCTTCCGGGACGTCAACTTGCCCATCTGGACTCATTTTCCGTTCTGCTCCTCTGTACGTGCTCTCAAGCTGCGGCACATTGACGATGAGATACGTACTCGTTCTAAGCGTGAATGCGGATGTGAGGTGACCAAAAGCGACACGCGACATCGCCGTCGTCTTCCATTCATGCGTCCGAAGTCCCCAGAACCGCTGATGAGATACGTATACTCCCAGTTCTGCTGTCTCTTCTCTTCACATGGGCTTTGCCTGTCCGAAGGTGGGTGTTTCGATACGTCTGGAAATCTGTGGCTGTCCCGCGATGGTTTGCAAGGCTACAAACAGTTGACTATGGATTCAGATGGGTGCAAGGCTATTCATATAAGAAGAGACTACTTACGTTGCACAGCTATTCACCTAGTTACATAGCACCCACTTGCGGGGCCCCTTGTCGACTTCGCTTCCGACAATGTCGGCGCTGCGTCTGATTCTGATGATTGGGCTTCTTTGGCTACCACTCGATGCCATGGCTTCGGACTACAACATACCAGATGGGTGGAAGGTCAGTTCTATGGCTCTCTGAGTCTCCCTGTTGGTTCTGACGAGTGTACGTTGCAGAATACGGTGTCCAACGTTAGTCGGGCTGAGCGCCTCAGTACCGCCGAGGGCATTGCCAGCGAGCTTCGACATAGGGTTGATCCGTCGCTGGGATACCCCGCAGGTGCGTTGATATGCATATGCCCCAGAAGCGACACTGATGGGAAGGATGGAGTTAGATTCGGTCGACAATGAAACAATATGGGCCATGGTCATAAAGCTCGCTGATCAGGATCGGATTAGCGGGAACACCAACTTCATGGACCCCGTCGTAAACAACACGCTACAGCTCTTCGAATTCGGGAACGCAGACGATGATAGTTATAAGGTATGTTTGGCCTCGCTGAAGCAGCTGGCTGAGATCCTGAGATATCCTCTGCCAGGCCAACAACATCGACAATGCGTGGGTGTACCCGTACGCCTTCAGTACATCTGTATTGCTGATTTCAGTCTTTCGTAGTGGGTTTGGCTTCGCAGAGATTGTTGCTTATCAGGCATATCGTGATGCGTCTCGCCTGGCGGCGGCCCAGAAGGTGTTTGATCTTGTGTACTCCGACTTTGTAACAGTTTCCGGGGCCCGGACGGGTAAATATCCGCGGCCATTCAACACAGTTTGCGGACGTGAGCATCAGTTTGTCGTCCTGACACGCCGCGCAAACACACTGACCCTCTCTTCTAGAGACACTCGGAGGCATGATTTTCAATGTAAGCGATGTCGGTATGACATCGTCACAAGTCTGGATCATCATCTTCAACCACTGTTAGGGCCACTTGGATTTGAACGATATTTCTGTTCGCAGCTCTTCAATGTCGTCAGTGATTCCTGCCACTGTGTCATACATTTGTCGTGACTCAACGACAACATAGTCCTTGGATAGCGTGCGTGCTCTAAGCTTTCTACGTGGCATCGCTCTGAAGCATCGCACCCGCCCAGCCTTTGCGCACATCTATACGAACACACGCAAAACTCGACATACCTGACTGCTGCACAAGCATCGATACAATTCATGCAAGCATACTTGATCAGACTCGACGATGCAGGACTAAGTATCGGAGTAACGTTCAATGTTACTACTACCTGCACCACCGACTCTGAAGGCGTTGCGGATAACTTTTCACCATATATGGAAGGGTTGAGCATCATTGCAAACCTCACTGCAAATCAAGCATACGGCCAATTGTGTGTCATTGCGGGATTTTCGCGTCTTTCGATCACTCGCTGAGCGCGTACCGTCAGGGTTGAAATCCCTTGTTCCGGCCGTTCTATCCTTCCGCGATTGGCATAGCAGCGATGGTATTCTTACAGAGGGTGCGCGTCTATACGGGTCATCACCGGCGGAGAAGACTCATACTCATTCTATAACTCACGCGCTTAGATACGACCACATACCCTTCGAAATGTAAGGTGAATCATCTTGCTAGCAGGCTTATGAACATACACCTATCTATTCTAGGGACGTTGATGCGCGGTCTCCTAGAAGTCAGGCTGAGAAACCCTTCGAACACCGACTTGTGTACTCTCATCGATAGCTATATAACTGTTCAGGTCAGTTGACATGCCGTCTGCTCACTGTAATCCTTGAGGTCGCTCCATATGCTGACAATAGCTTGGCACACTTAGTTCAACGCTGTCAGAACAAACGCGAACATTGGAAGCAATGACTATGCGGTATCCTGGCACGGCGGGGGCTCCTCGCAATATAGCACAGTAGGCAATGTGGAGGCTTTGGCTGTGCTGAGCGCTGCAAGCGCGATAGCGCCTGCGTGAGTGTTTTGCACCATGAGATGTACTTTGCTGATCATGTAGCAGAAACGCGTCTCAGCCGAGTACCGGATCGTCGTCCGCCACCCCGTCACCATCGGCTGCATCGCCGTCACCGAACACGACATCACACCCTCGCCATCACGTGCCCGTACGCGTAATTGCCGGCGCTGCAGCAGGTGGCACAGTGGCCGTTGGAATCTTTACCTTGATCATTTGCATGCATCGGCGCCGTAGGGGACGGAAGCGCAAGATGCTACTTCACTCTACCGGGATCGACACTGCGAAAGAGAGCGCCGCGGACAGGTTGATGCCCGATCCATTCATTCAGCGGACGCCTCTGTATGCTCAATCAATGTCGTCACCGAGGAAAGGGGACCTTCGTCGCCCTGTAACGTTCTCCGAACAAACCGTTCATGGCGATTCGTGGCGTCCTCCGTCTGATCGTGTCGATGTCGATGTCAATGCTCACGATCCGACGAGCGCGCGCGAGCACGAGATCAGGCCGGCCGACGGCCAGCCCGACGCCTGGCATGATATGGAGAGAAGGTTGGAGACGAGGTTACTGAACAACCTGATTCGAACATTCGCGGGACACGGAGAGACGGAGAGCAACCCCCCGGAGTACGATGGACCTCGGAGTTGAAGGGAAGCAGAATCGCGGTTCTGGCGCATTTCGTTTGAGGTGTCAGTCAGTCAACAATAGATGTACTGTTTGATGAATTCCACGTTCACACGATGCTGGATCCATGTCGAGCTCCGAAATGAGAAGGCTGTTTAGTATTGCGTTATGGAGGTGATCGTAAAAGCTTGTAAGACGCTGCAGCATGCTATGACATTGCTGTGAACATGATCTCAATGCCATGTTCAGCGCTCGGCGAAGAACTCCTTGATCCTGGATGTCATGAACGAAAGATCTTCCAAGTCTGCCCCGCCTCCAGCTAAGTCCGAAGCATCAATCACTGAAGTAAATATAGATATGGCAGATCATTGCGCACCAACGTGGCCCCAAATAGACTCGATGACCTCCAACCTCCCCATCCCCTCCTCCAACAGCCCAACCTCATACTCACAGTCCTCCGGCGTGAAATAAAGATCCGTCTTGCACGGCATCACCAGCATCTTCGCTTTGATACTCTTCAAGCATCGCTCCAGATCACCACCGTCCCGTATTTGCGAGACGTCGCCGTTCTGCAATGTTCGGAGGAGAAAGAGCATGTCGTTGGCGTCCCAGCTCGATACATAGCGCTGCTCCCACTCTTCGCGGATGAAGGAGTTCAGGTTGGAGTATTTCCCTGAGAAGAGGTGGTTGTGCTGGCGGTACCACTGTCCGGGAGTCCTGATTAGTATGCGAGAGTGGATCATAAGATTGGAGACGGGAGTGAGAGACCTACAGCCTGCCCGTATGCCCAAGCGCTATAGACGCGCGCAAAAGCTCGGATGCCGTGTTGAGGCGTCGAGGTGTAGTGTCCTTCATTGAAGTCTTTCGACGCGATCAGTGCAGCCTTGGGGCCTTCTAGGAAGCTTGGAACGGGCGAGTTAGATCGCCGATCGACCTGGTGCCAAGCGGTTTGGGAAAGTCACCATTGGTTGTGTGGGCTTGTGCGCGCTGTTCCGCATATAACTACTGAGCTGGGGGTTTGATGAGTGCGACGGCGAGTTGCATTGTGAGTGATTGGCTTGCCGTTCAACGAGTTCTGGGTACATGACAGGCCAGTACCATGCCTGCACTTCGTTTAGCGATGACACGCAATCGACACTCGAGTGTGGAACTCACTTGTTGCCCGCCCATCGAGAAGCCTATGACGGAGAAGATCTTGGTGATGTGCAGATGATCGACTAACAGCGCGCGCTGTGCACGTCTAGTGCATATGCACATTAGCGCGTCACACTAAGCAGGCCCCGTTCGTGGGCCGCTCACATGTTATCTTCGTAGGATACGTCTGGGAAGTACGGTCCGTTGTAAGGGACTGGCTGAGAGGAGGCGTTAGTGTCGAACAGTGCTGAGGCTCAGTAAAACCGCACTGTGTTTGAGGGCGAAGACGACTAGAGTTCAGGGGTATCACAGTGAGCGTCTGGTTGCATACCGCTGCATGTGTGTAGAAAGAACAACGCACCTCTCCGTTCGAGAACAGTGCGATCGTCACGACGAAGTACTCGTCGGTATCGAGAGCCTTGCCCGGTCCGATCATGTACTCTTGCCCTAATATCCCAGTGCTCGCATCTGGCCTCAACACGGTCTTGTAGAGAGGGGAACAGATGACGCACGCTCGAGGCGCCCCCCATAACAGGTTGGGAACACGATACAAGGCTTGGAAGGGTCTCCATAGAGCCGATAGGCGGTGACAGCGTCAGGCAGCACGCCTCCGGCAACGGGGAAGCGTCCGTGGTGATAGTACAGATTGCCGGACATCATACAGAGATATGGGTGAGGGACATGCTACATTGCTTGAGGGTGAGATGTTAAGTGGGAAGGATTTGGAGGGCGGGTGGCCGCGCCTCCGATATGGGAATTGAAACCATGACAGGACGCGCACGCCGATGGGATTGTGCCCTGGACTCGCGCTCTCAGGCTGAGCTTCCGATGAAACGGGAGACAAGTGTAGAAGGGCGCTGTAGGGCGCGCGGTGCGATGACGCTTGTGAGAACGGCCGCGCTACATCAGCGCCGGTTCCAACTGGGCGCTGCTTCAGCTGAGTGACTTCGTCGTCAACCTGGCCGCTCAGATGGATGTCGGCTTGTACGCAAGTCGTACTTCACTCCACAGCAGGCGATTATATAGCCTTGCACACACATCAGATGTAGATGGGACCGCAAATAAGTGGATGATTCGTAAGTAGTTAGAGTCAACAAGTGTTCGAGGGAGAGTAATGTCCGTGAAGATGCATATGTACCTAGACACATACGTGAATTCATCATAGAGTAGTACGCCGTATAGAGACTTACAAGATGGGTCTGAAAGATGAAGAGCGATGAGGTGCTAACGCGTATTGTGGTCACTTGGGAACGCGCTCCTCGTCCTCGTACGGAGTTTCGAACTCATCCCGTGGTGGCCCGACCACGACCGCGCCGGACGGCTTCCAGTTACGTTCGGCCTGGTCCTGTTCCCAGTCTAGCGCATGTGACTGGAGTGCGAGGTCGTCGAGAACAGCAGGCTCGACATCGTCCAATCCCTCATCTTCTAGGAATGATGCGGCGGACGGTCCCTCGTCCTGAGACAACCGAATGGCGCCTCCATCACCGGAAAGTGCTCGCAACCTGTGTACATATATAAGTCACCTTGGTCGGTTCTGATTAAATCTCGTACGTACTTTACCGATACCACTTTGCGCAATGCGTGTGCTCGTCGCCAGATGAGGAAGAGGACACAGAAAGCGGCAGTGGTGAAGAGGAATATAAACGGCGCGTTGCCAATCGGTTGCGGCTTCTCGCCCGGACGCGGCTCTGAGCCTCGCGCTTCAGCTCAGCTGTACGATTGAGAGTTGGGCGTACTGTGTACCTCCTGGAGGCGCCATGTTCGTCGGCTGCTGGTCGTGCGATGCTGAGACTGTTCGTCGCGCGCCGCTGCACCGTGCGCCGAGCGGACCGGGAGTCCGAAGTTCTCACACTTCACGTGCCTATAAAGTTGCCGTCTCGCTCAGTTTTTTCTGCCTCCTTTTCTCGCTCACCACGACGGGCTTCATTTGCCTGGCATACGCAGGGTGAGTCTATGTTCTCAGTCGTACCGTTCTGCCTACTCTACCGGATGAGATATATATCATTCAGTTATCCCTGTCTTAAGACATAATGTCGAGAGCTTTACTGTTTTCTGACCCTTCCTGCTTACTACCTTTACCGCCAGCATTGTACTGACGCCAATTCCCTAGAAACTGCACCATGCGTGGATGGAAGTGGAGCGGTGTCTGTAGGCTGTATTTGGTCAGGGTCTGGATTGCATGTCGTGTGTAATTTTATGTCCCATGCCACATCATATCATTTGAGAACCACTATACCGTGTGCGCGCAACTGTATCTCCCATCGTCAGGCGACCGGTGAACGTGCCCCTCGGTTCCCTTGTACATGCAAAGAATCTTCTAGCCCCTGTGGCCCTATCATCTACCTTCCCATGTCGAGAGCACGGCCGTCCGCAGGCTCCACTTCCCATCCTTTTGTACGAATCGAGTTATCTTCATCTATCGGCTCTTCTGCAGCACCAAGGCTTGCTTCCCTCTTTCCGTCCGCAATATGTCTGAGACTCTGTACTATCACCATGGACGTTTTCCAGTTGCGGGGGGCGTCTTGCCAGACGCTGTGACGGCTTATCGCGTCTATGGCGATCCTGCGAAGCCGTGCGTCGTGTTTCCGACGTGCTATGGAGGCCGACTCGATAGTAAGTACCGAAAGCTGCGTCGTCCTCGGCTAATGGGCGTGAAGACATGGGATTGCTAGGTCAGGACTACATGATAGGGCCGGGTAAGGCTCTTGACCCGACCGAGTACTTCATCGTGACCATAGCCCTGTTCGCGAACGGCGAAGTACGTGGTCGTTCACTTTGTGCGGGAGCCTATCATCCTGATGCTTCCCTATAGTCATCATCGCCATCCAATACCGTATGTTATCACGTCTTGCGGAGACCACTACGTGACGAGAAGCTATCAGCCCATCCCCTATAATGGCCCGTACTTCCCGTACGTGAACTACGAGGATAACGTGTACGTGCTTCGCAACTTGAGTCCGCATGGCAATGTACTAAGGAAATGCACCAGGCGCGCACAACACGCGCTGCTGGTCAATCATCTGCACATCAACAAGGTCTTCTGCGTCGTTGGCTTCTCCATGGGTGGCCAGCAGGTACGCTTCGAAGGTCTTAGGTCAATCAGAGCTCTGACCGTGCATAGGCATACTACTGGCCCGTCATGTACCCTGAGCTTGTGGAGCGGTACGCCTATCAGTCGTTTCCGGATACAAGCAGCCGCTCACAACGGTCACAGCGCGGTTGTCATCTGCGGTTCCGCGCGCACAAGTCCTCATAATCAATGGTATGTGCTTCCTATGCGTCTCATTGTACACTATGATCTTATCGTCTTCATGTCCAGCTTCCTCGAAGGCCCCAAAGCCGCACTAGTCGCGTCCAAAGACTTCCACGACGGACATTACACCTCGACACCACAACACGGCATTCGCGCTTTCGCGCGCGTTTATAGCGCATGGGCATACGGCCAGACAGTACGCTCTCACCATTCCTTCCCTCAAGCCGTCCACGACGAAAGTACTGATTCGGACACCCGCAGTGGTACCGCAAGCACATGCACCTCTACGACGGCAAATACGCCAACCTCGACTCCTTCATCCGCGAAGAATGGGAACAGTCCTTCGTCGAGCACTGGGACGCCAACGACATGCTCGCGCTGCTCAAGACCTGGCAAACGGGCGACGTCTCGCGCGTGCGGCACGGCGGGGAGCTCTCGCTCTGTTTGAAGGATATCAGGGCGAAGATGCTGGTGATGCCGTGCGAGACGGATCTGTATTTCCCGCCGGAGGACAGTAGTTTTGAGGTCGATTGTTTGAGGGATGGGAGGTTGGAGATTATTGATTCGGTTTGGGGCCATCTTGGTGAGTGCTTGGTGGATCTTTGGGCGTGGAAGAGTGACATGTACTGACGGGGCGCGTTGTAGCTGGGGGCGGCGCGAATGAGGAAGATCTGGAGTTCTTGACCTCGAGGATTAGGCGGTTCTTCGCAGAAGATTGATTGGATCATACTCTGTCGTATGTTTGTATAGTGCACACTACCCTATCCCATCTGTCTCCCACACAAGCTGGCCCCGCCTGCGGGGCCAACGCACTGCGTCTGCGAACTCAATCGTGACTGGTTGATTTTCTGCGCACAGAGCGAATAGTTGGCCAATCGGGCTGCAAACAACTCGAAACAATGAGACAGGACCGTATATGACGGTCGGAGCAAGCCATCGTAGCGAGAAAGTAGCCAAGAGGTAAGCACAAAGACGTACAAACCGATCCTGTGACGCGGCTGCTCCAGGCAGTCACGACCGAATTTTGATGTTCACTCCGTTTACCTGCGCTACAGGGCCTGAGGACTACGGATACGCCCTGCCCCTAGAGTACGAACAACACCTCGACATCATGTATTACATCACGCCCAAACCCGCCTTCAACTCCTTCTCCAGATCATCCAAACTCTTCTCCTTCGTCTTCTCCGCACCAACTTCGTCCTTCATCCCGCCCTCCTTCTCCTCCTTCGTACATCTCTTACACCTACACGTCCCAAAATTCCACGCATTGACCTCTTCCCTGCGCCTTCGAACGCCCAGGCTCGGGTCGACGTACGATATGAAGAGCTCCTCGCCGGGCTCGATGTCGCGTTTTGCGAGAACGGTTATGCGAGAGAGAGCGGAGCGCTGGTCGAGGTGCCGCACTGAGGCGTTTGGATCGCAGTCGTGGTTCATGTGTGAGTGGAGGGTGTACAGGCCGCCGTGGGCTTCGAGATCTGCGTAGGGCAACCGGTTAACTCAAGCATCTGGCGAGAGGAGAAGAGGGAGAGGTCGCACTTAGACTCATGCGCCCGAGACCTTGCAGGAAGCCGTCGTATGTGAATAGTTGGTTGTGTAGGTGCTCGGGCAAGCGGTTCTTGAGTAGGCGCGCGAGTTTCTTTTGGTCGGACGCGGTCGTGGGCGCGTCGAAGGCCTGGAGGTACAGCTTGTACGCCTTCTTCCATACGACGCGATCAGGCTCCGAGCCGCCCAGCCTATATCGCGATATGAATGAGTGCAATCTGGTAGGAGTATGAGGTTCAGCGCTGACCATCCGTTCTTGTGCCGTTCCTCCATCCCTAACGTGGCGAGCGCATTGACGACCTTCCACTCGTCCTCGAACGTCTTCGCGTCCTCCCCTTGCATCGCATGGTCCAATAACAGCCTCGCTGTGCACTGGCTTAACGCAGCGAGCCCCAGCCATGCGCTTGTTCTGGCGAACTTGAGCAACGGGACAGAGGCGGGGTTCTGAGCGGGACAGAGTAGCGGGTGCACGCGTTGGGCGCGGGTGTGGCAGAGGCGGTTGCAGAAGCGCGCGGGGCAGTAGGAGGTGGAGGATGAGGCGGAGCAGTGGACCGTGAGAGAGGAGTCGGTGAGCGGCGTCGTGCAGTGTGTGCACGCGCGTCCGTTCTGCTGTAGGTCGTACAGCTCCCTGACAATAATAAGTGCGTCAGAACGATCACGAGACGAAGAGTGTCAAGAAGGGCTTACCATTCCGGCGAGATGATGAATGGGTCCTCTTTCCATATGACCTCCCCCTCCGCAATCCTTTCCTTCGCGAACAGACCCTTGCCCTTCCGTTTATCGATGTACTTCACCTGCACGCGCCCCGTCCACCGCTCGATATCGAGATCCTCAATCACCCTCGACGCCGGGTACACGGCCTTCTCCTTCTTGGGCGGACCATTGCTGCTGCTCTCCTTTGCGGCGTTCGGGGGCGGCGCGGCGTTGATGAGGCCCTCGGCCTGGCAGATCTTCTTCACCCGGTTCTCGCTCAGCTGCCAGTTCGCATTCTCGGACAGGACCGCGGCGCGGATTTTGGATATTCCCAGAGACGGGTTCGCGGTTTTGGTTTTGATTATCGCGGCGCGGAGGTCGTCGTCGGAGGGCGAGATCTGGGCTGTGGCGCCGGCGGCGGCGGTTGGCGGAGGAGTCGACATTTCGTTTTGATGTTGCTTTAGTCTTGTTTAGCTGCGCGCACGTGGTGCGGTAGGGTATATTGTCACATACCTACAGGATCTCGAGAGCAATACAATACACAAATGACCCGGAGACGGAGAAGCAGACGCTGATGGCGCGCGTGAGTACACTGGGACCCATAATGATACACAGCATCAACGGAAGTAGATTTTTCGCTCGAGCCAGGACTCGAAATGAAGACCGTTGTCCTCGTTGCTCGGAATACTCACTTGATGTGGTATACAGAGTTAGAAGAGAGAACCGCAGACCCCGCAATGGACGTTGAGAACAAGCTCGCAGCTGCACGCACGGCTCGGACGCCCCGTGCATGTGCCATGGTACACACGTGCTATCGATCCTGGCAACGTTCCGAGCATCTTCTCTTTGAACTACCAGCGCGTATTCGCAGGATGACTCTTACTGCCTCCCGACATATTGTACTTATGGCTTGACAAGAAGGGAGAAAGATGGTTTAGGAAGTTCTGCTTGGATGGCAATCATCTTGTGTCTGCCCGCGGCAGTTGCCACGCAAAATACTTGACCAGGCGTAGAGCTTACCGCACCCGTTCGGGCCCCGATACGTACAAGGAGGCTACCCAGCTCCAAGTAAGAATATATATATATATATTGTATTGCATGAAGCACAAGCCAATGGTTACAGCAAACAGGAAAGAAAGATAACGTAGAAGAAAGCAATGCATATAGAACACCTCCGTAAAGCGCCCTCCGTACGTACGCAGAGGCCGCTAAAGTGATGCCCATATCGCTCTTCCCTCATATTAGCAACTCTATGCGCCAGGTAGAGGTATGAAGCCCAGCGCTGAGTGAAGACAGAAAGAGGGTGTATCGTAAACAGTCTATTTGAGATCACGCACAAGAGCAGGGGAGATGATTATGTATAGTGACTTCACAGGACGTAGGTACAGGAGCACAAAGCACAAAGACGAAGAGAGGAGATGAGAGAGGAAAATGGGGATGGAGATGGAGATGGGGATGACAATCGGAGGATGTGAGGCACCTCGTAAAACGAGCTCCCGGAGGATCGAAGGAGCGGCTGAATTAATGCCTGAGTTGAAAGTCCGTCCGTCTGCCCTCGTATAGCAACTCTAGTCCACCCGGTGGAGAAGAGCCGGGCGGCGAGTGAATAAAGAGGGGGCGATGTCTTATGCAAAGCCGGTCGCAGGTTCCACGCGTTGGATAAGGCGAAGACATGGCATTCGGATATGTGCGGAGGTACGGGATCAAAAAATCAAGCGGACAACGAGAAGGCCTACACCATGCTAGGGTGGTGAGCTGGAAGCGAGGTTGGGGCCAGCGTCCAGAGAGGTAGTCGGTTCAGAAGGAAGCGACGCGTAAGGGAACTACTGGGGAGAGTAGCAGTCCAGATAGCGAGCACGACAGTCCACGAGCGGTTTCAAGATGTTAAATAGAGGTGTTGTTGTTGTAGTACACCGTCTTGCAGATGGCAGGCTAGCCCAGAGATGGTGGCAGGTTGAAAACAACTCGGGCGCGCACAAAAATTGCCAGCCAGACGTTCGACCGGCCGTGAGAATGCGCACGGGAACGTGTCTGATCCGCGACGCGTCCGCCGCGGGCGTCATGGTCAGTTCGCACTTGCACTCGATCTTCGATGACGGCGGATACGACGGCGCAAAAGGTGCAGCGAAAGAAGGTTGCGGTCACGCTCCTGACGGGATGAAGGTACCCCTACTCTATTTTGCTAATATTCCCGTTTGTTGGCGGCAAGTGCGCTGATTCTGCTATGAGCAGGAGGCGTCCCAGTCTCGAGGATGAAATTGGACTCGGCGCAAGGCTCTCTACGGATTTCCCGTCCGGCAAGACTTGCATTTCGGCATTCCATGCTCAAATTTCAATTATATACGTACTGTAGGATGTATCTCGATGTCATATCACTCCCGCTCTCCTTCCTTTAGGCCTGAGGAGGGTTCGTAGCCCATCAAATTGGTTCGTCAAGACGCTGAGCGGCTGGAGGAGAACACCGAAGCTAGCCCGAGGCCGACCGTGCGTCGTCTTGAGCGCCGTTCCACACTCCGCCTTGTCCCTCTGCGTCTGCGAAGCAATCAATTGGAAGACAGCTTCGCACGTTCGACAAAGGCGATGGGTCAAATCTTTCCACCTGCTTACAGTAAGGCTTCAGCCTCGCCCCGCCGTGCGGCATATGCCACTGTCTGGACTGTACGCCTGGCATCCACGGTTGAAACCCGCGTAACCTAAACCAAGGTGTAACATGGCCATACAGAGCGACAATCGCCGGCACCGACGTCGGCATGTTCAGGCTTCCATCCCGTTCGTACTATAATGAGCGCGAGAACATTCTCATGTCAAGCGGCACCGCGCCACAATACCTCGATTCCGGAGTGCTTGTCAGTTGCCGCCGTGTCAACGGAATATAGCGCATTCGGAAGGGGCCCCCCTTCTTGATGTGATATGTCAGGGGCTATGATTGTCTTCTGGTTCTTAACAAGGCAGCCGAAATACGAAGACTACTCGACAGCGACTGAGCTCTTCGCGAGTTACGGGGCACACATGCCGAGTAGAAGACATCTGGAGTAGGTATCAAGGGGAGAGAAGTATACAGAAAAGGGTATGCGCGGCCTTTCTCAGGTTGACAGAAGACTCGGGCACTCGGCATGAAAGCCGTGGCCCGGCTTCTCCTGAATCTCTACGATCTTGAGCAAGCCCCTGTCATACATATGTCGGCATATACACTTCGCAGATCGGACCACTTTTCTCAGACCAATCCAAGTAGCTGTCGAGCCCGAAACAGATGCCGGCGGCCTCTATGCGCGCATACGAGGTCTCAAGCAGTTGGCATAAGCATACGATCTGTTTGGCTTCGGAGTAGGAATCGCGCACAATGAGCCACAGGGACTGTACCGTACAAGCCCCACTGTCCTCGCCGAGGGCACAGCATTATGGAATGAAGTACGCGAGTGAATATGGCGGGACATAGCAAAGTCTGCGAGCGCGCTGAGAGACGGGCAACTCGGCCCGCAGCGGCCATCAATACAACACACCTATACACACTGCTCCGGCGCCGAGACGCGTCTTCCCTCTCAACCGCCACCATCATAACAGTGCATCTCGCTCCCTTGACAGATCCCCTCTGATACGGCGTGCCGCGCTGTACTCGGCTCAGGGGCATTTGAATGACTCTAAGCGAGACTTCCGCATTGGCTTAGGACCGCCTTCGACTCCCATGGGACGACGCCTGACGACGCGCATCCAACAATGACAGATAGCTCGCCAGTCGTCCTACCTTTCCTTCTTATGTTCGAAAGAGAATTGGACGTAGAACAACCTCTTGCGTGCGCGCATGTCTCGGGTAGCCCCGATGCTACCCTCGGGGCATCCCACACTGCAAGGGACGGCTTTGATGCTCTGAATATTCTGGTTGACATCGACACTAGGCTTCGCGGCTTTAGAGCCTCGATGCATGTAACGTCCAAATGTAGCGACCCAATTGCTTCTCCGAGCGCCGCAGGCACCTCATTTGTCCTATAGGGCGGTGGAAGTTGCCCGTGTATAGACCCTTATTATCTGTATGAGGTGGAAGATTGACGCTCGACTATCTTAGGTGGCCTTCGGCTGCTTATATAGACCTGGTCGCATTGTATCGTGTTACTCTCAAGTCGCCTCGGTGACTCTCACTCTCCTTTACCCTGTTCTTTTCCGTTGCGGCACGACATAATGCTTGCTGTCCTTGCTCTGCCCCTTTTGCTCGCGGCGTGCGCTGAAGCCGCCCTCGGCCCCAAGGCCGAGCTCATCATCTCCAATGCTCAACACGCACCTGATGGCTTCACGCATGAGTACGTTACACGCTTTACTGGATTGAGGAGACGTGCTGATGACCTTGCAGCACCATCGTAGTGAACAATCAATTCCCGGCTCCCCTTCTGACTGCAAAGATGGTAAGTTTCACGCTCGTTGTCCGATCCATGCCGCTGACATCTTTAATAGGGGGATAACATCGACTGGAAAGTCTTGAATCTTCTCTCAGATACAGACTTTGGCACCCCTACCTCGGTCGTCAGTCCATCCACTACTTAGGTTAACGTCTACTCATCGGTCTTCAGCACTGGCACGGTCTCTTTCAGCACGGCTCGGTACGCCTGCTTCCATCTGTTTCATTGGCCCGAGTCTGACGTGCGGATCAGGCCTACGCAGATGGGCCTGCCTTTGTGACGCAGGTGCGTTTGGATCAGTTCAACGAGGGCGCAGACTGATAGCTCGCGTCAGTGTCCGATCGTGCCGTATGAGTCGTTTGACTACAAGTTCTCTGTGCCCGGTCAGGCAGGAACGGTATGTTTTGTGCCTTCGCTTGACGTCCAGAGTATTTGACGCCCCGCAAAAGTACTGGTATCACAGCCATTACAAGCTGCAGTACTGCCAGGGTCTGCGCGGACCCATCGTGATATATGGTAAGCATGTCCGATTGCGTCCATGCGGTGCTTTTGTTGATGTGAACTTCCCAGACCCGAATGACCCGCAGAAGCACCTCTACGATGTCGATAACGGTGAGCTCTCACATAACGATGTGAGTTTGAGCGTTTCTCACGCCTATCTTGGTACAGAGGGCACTGTGATCACTCTCGCGTACGTGCTCTGTACCTCATAGGCCGCCATCTTCTGATCGTTCTCATTAGCGACTGGTATCACACTACCCAACTTGGGGTATGGCCCACTGGCTGTCCTTCGATCATGATCTGACCGTCTATATTTTCTCAGCCCCCTCCGCATACAGCAGACTCAGTACTGATCAACGGGAAAGGGCGCTACGCTGGCAACCTCACCGCGCCTCTTGCCGTCGTGAACGTCAAGCATGGCCTTCGCTACCGGTTCCGGTACGTACATTGTACTATTTCATCGGTTGATCGCTGAGCGCTGAGGGCCCTTGCGCTAGTTTGGTATCCATGGCTTGCGGTATGCGCGCATACATGACGTTCTACGTCACGGAGACTGATCTCTTCACAGACGCGAACTTCGTCTTCAGTATCGACGGCCACTCATTCGCCGTGATCGAGGTACGCGCCCGACCTATTCAAACCTTTCACGCAATGCTGAGACGCTAGACAAACAGGCCGATGGTGTGGCTCATCAACCACTTCCAGTCGACTCCGTACAGATCTTTGCCGGTCAGCGTTACTCGCTTGTTGTACGTAAAGCTCAGCTGTATACGATACTTCATCCTAATGCGTAGTGCAGATGGCAGCAAACCAGCCCCCGTCCAACTACTGGATACGCTCCAAGCCCGATAACGCTCGGAATACGACGTTCACTAGCGGTTTGAACTCGGCCATCCTTCGTTACGCCGGTGCTCCTGTCGCGGAACCATCATCGGTGCAGCCCAATCTCACGCAACCACTAGTTGAGCAGAACCTTCACGTACGTCCTTTGCTGTTTCGTGATTCATATACTCACTGAGGGCTTCATCAGCCGCTCACTGATGCTGCTGCGCCCGGCGCCCCATACCCCGGAGGTGCGCATCTCGGCCCATCTGCTCTTGCACGATCGGTTATAACGTTCGTTTACAGGCGCGGACGTTTCATTGTTGCTTAATGTTACCTATGTAAGGATCTACCTCCCTCGTGCCGAACTTTTGACTGAGAAATATCCTAGAACGGGACCGTCTTCTTGACGAATGGGACTACGTATCAATCGCCGTCGGTACCCGTCCTGCTCCAGGTACTCAATGGCGCCAACGCGAGTTCTCTTCTCCCGTCTGGTTTGGTGTACCAGCTGCCGAGGAACAAGGTCATCGAGCTGGTGATCCCTGGCGGCGTGATTGCCGGACCGGTACGCCGCAAATTCTCACGCGCGTGCTCGCCAGCTTTCTCACTGAGCGACAGCATCCCGTCCACATACACGGCCACGCCTTCTCCGTCGTGCGCAGCGCTGGCAACTCGACCTATAAGTGGGTCCTCTTCCTCGACGTTCATTCCCTCTTGAGCCTGACTATGCTTCTAGCTTCGTGAACCCTCCCAAACGGGACGTCGTGAGCATCGGGTCATCTGCAACCGACCGTACTACAATTCGTTTGTGAGTGCTTCGATGACGAAGGGGGATTGAACGCATGCTAATCTATACTTAGCGTTACGGACAACCCGGGCCCGTGGTTCTTCCATTGGTACGTATCCTCTGAGCGCTCCGCCTGAACACTGTCGAGCTCACATGGTCCCTTAGCCATATCGACTTTCACCTTGCTGAAGGTTTCGCGGCCGTCTTTGTTGAAGACCAACCCGATATCAAGGCCGTAGATAAGCCGACTAGTAAGGCCTAATCGTCTCAACGCGTGGCGCTAGGAGAGCTGACGTCACACTGTAGAAGAATGGGATACACTCTGCCCCGCCTACAATTTCTACGCTCAAACTCACAATCTTACCACAGCTTCTGGTTGATTATATACGTTCTCTGCTAGCTTTACGGACTTCTTTTCCCTGGGTATATATGCTTCTTGGGTGCATTCGTTCTGATTGAGTATTGTGTACCACATGGACAGAACAATATACACATGCTCTGACAAACCTAAGCCTATGGCGATGCATAAGGCGACATGGACCATAACTCGTCGAGACGCTTCAAAGCTCCGTCGAAGTAAGCCGCGAGCTCCGAGTCTTGCTCTTGAAGAGCTTTCGTCGCATTGTACATGCCCATTGCCACCATCATCCTTCGCTCCTGTGAAACGCTTCGCGCCTGACGAGGATGCATCACATGCAATAAGAATGTTCCGGCGAAAGCAGCGCCTCGATGGAAAGATACCGGAGGTGATTGCCCTTCGCTTGCGGCGGAGAGCAACGAGGCGGCTGCGTTCGCCGCCTCATCAATCAGTGTAAACTGGGGGGAATGTGACGAGAGTGTTTTCAGACTTCCGGGGAGCCATGATACAAGCAGGCGGCTGTACGAAGTCCAGCTATGTTCATTGTGAGCACAGAGATAGCAGAGAGAGGAAAACAAGTAAACGTACAAGAGAAGTGAGCGTCTGATGACCTGCGGCAGCGCTACAGCACCCGACTCTGTCTTGATTGCAGACTGATGAGCGGCGGTGGCTTGTATCGCAGTAGCATAAGCCCTTGAGAGCGAGTCTCCATCCTGAAAATGATCAGATACGTGTCATATCGTATGGTGGTTCAGACGGGACTGACCACCTGTACCGGGGCAGCCTTAGGTCGCGCGGCTACCATGTCGTCCCAGAAGCGACGCATGACTTGCAAAAGCTCTACGAGTGCAGGTAACCCAGCATCAAAGTCTGTTTGGTACTTTGATATACTGAGTGCCGCTGCCGCATCAACGATACCCTGATAATGTGCACATGAGAACAAAACCGTGTGAGCGCAACAGCTACGACGCGTACCTCATCTTCTCGTGCCTGTGGAGGCTTATTGGATTGAAACGATTGCATGCCATCCATGACCCAGCAAGCGAGCCATGTTCGCGCACAGTTGAGGACCTCGCGGGCCTGGCGTTCGTCGGCTTCAAGCCGACAGGAGCCATCTCTCGTCGACTGATCAAGGCCGATGTCGCTGGCCATGCTTCGGGCGAGGCCAATGTACAAGTTCTCTCGCTGATCTTCTTGGCGAGAAACCGGAGGAGGGTACGCCGCCAGAAGGAGATACGCCTGCACACACTCTACGTTCTTGTGGCCGTCCAGCATAGATGTGGCGGCCGCAGACTTCGCGAGGTGCATGGCGAGCGTGTAGATCTTCCGGAGGCGTTGATGGGCGCTAGAAGCGACGGCACACACAACCGTGAACAGGAAGGGGCTACGACGCATCACTGATGCACAATTGTGTATGGCTTCGTCGAGAAGGTTGAGAAAAGGCTATGGCTCTGTCAGAGACCGTTCATCCCCAAATGCAAATTCACTTACGTTCATGTCTTCGAAGAAGCTGCGAATGTCAGCTTCGTCGTGATGAAATGCACACGGAAGAGGATACATACTGTGCGAAGAGTTCTCGAGCGTCGGCGGTCGATATGAGCCCAGAGAGTAGGATGTCGGGCACAAGCTCTCTCTCGACAACGACTCGCCGAACACTGAGGTCGGAGAACGGATCTGCGAGCCGTCAGAGCCGTTTGAATCGGGTTGAGGGATGCGCGCACTTGGTGTGAAATAAGAGCTACATGTGAAGCCCTTGTCGGAAGTACAAGCGTCCGTAGGTGATAGACGCCTGGCCCATTCGCGCATGAAACCAACCATGCCTTCACCACCAGACCTATCGGAACATGCGGGTAATGAAGAGTCCGGGCATACCCCGTGAAGATCATCCTCATCGTCGGAAAGCATAGCCTCATCTTCCAGCTCATCGGTATCGATGAGTGCAAATCCGCGCTCTAACGTGTGAGTAGGTCGTGGGCGTTTCTCCAACCAGACTAGTGCCTCGCGGCCCGATACTCGCTCTTCCGAAGATAAACTCAGATCTCCCAGCGCCAATGTTAGAGGCGTCGCAGACTCCGACGCCCACCGGAAATCGCGCAGACGCTCGGCGATCAGGTCGTTCTTTGTGCGTATCTGGCGCTGAAGCTGTTCCCGTTGCCTGTGGGTCCCCATAAGTTTGACCATACGAGGTGTGGGCGATAGGGCTAACTTACCCGGGCGTCCGAGGTTTGCGACCTTCGACTATACAGTCATGACGTCCGCTTTGACACCTGGTACAAGTGACCGACTGCGCAGTGAACGTGCACTTCATCTATGGGGATGAAGAACAGAGCGATCTGTTTCAGAAAGCTTTCGTGCAGAGAGCACGGGGAACTGAGCCCTTACCTTCAAGCGCTTGCAACGAGCGCATGCCCCAGGAAGGCGCTCGGATAGCGTGTGCTCACCTCCCGGCGCCCGATCGCCGATGTGGCCACCTGCTAACGAAGATAGCGGTTCATCTTCGTGAGAGGCCGTCTGAAGACTCGGGTTACGCTCGGGAGGAGGGGAAGGAAGATACAATGTCGTATGTACTCCGGTTTGTAATGAGGCATCGCTGTACCCGAATGATGAATAGCCCTGCGTAGGGGTAGGTGCGGGCGCCGAAAGCATTCCTGGCGGGCACATTATGTTCTGCTCGTTTGTGCGATGTTGGCTGCTCTCTGGATGAACGTGTCAGCTTCGGATACATTGCCTGTACAAGCCAAGACGTCGACTAACCGGGTAAAGACGTCG